TTTTGGGTTTCTTGATCCTATGGGGAGGCCATAATTGAGGTCATGGCCCAGCAATGAGAAAGCCTGCAGCTTTGGTGGCAGAGTGTTTTGGGGGTAGGGTTTTGTACATACTTAAATACACAGAGAGAGAGACGAGAGATTGAGGCGCGGCTGGAAAGCCTGTATATATATATGAATGAATCTGCAGGTGTTTAGAGTTGGGGAAGGGGGATGTTGAGGCAAGACTCTTCTGATAATATTGTTTATCCTTTACTTTGGTTTTGTAGTGTTTTTCCTTTCCTTTGGAGGGTTAGTGTTCAGGGTTGGGTTGGGGCAAACTAGGATGCTAAATTTTTGGGATAGCAGCAGTTTGTCATTTTGTTAGGTCTAATTTGGGAGGAAGAGGAAATAAGAATTTGTTGATTGGGGGTGTTTAATTTATTAGCAGCAGTCCATGTTCATGTGCTATGTTGTGTGAGTTAGTGGGCATGATGATTGTATGACTGGTTCCCCTGCATTTTGATGATGAGTTGAGCCGAAGGCTCTTTGCTTGGAATGCGTTGCTTGAAAGAGCATTTTTGAAGGAGTTTTCATTTTGCCATCTTCTTGTAGCCATTTCGTCTCAAATCCGACCATTGGTGCTCCGGTTATTGAAAGCTTGAGGAAGCACACCATTGGTGTTTAATTTGTCACCAAAACAAATTCTGGAGTAATGTACTCTACTAGTTTACTGCTGGCTCGTTGTGGCTCGTTTGTCCTATTAGGCTATTACACAATTCTAGCCTATCTCTCTCTTCCATTCCACAATCCATTGCATGCATCCATGTTCATTATCTACAAAAATAATCCCTCTGACATGACAATTAGTGGAGGGCAATATCGTTGTTGTAGTCATCCTTGGAAATGGAGTAGCCAGACTTAAATTACTAGTATTGTAGCCAGACTTAATTTTTTTTTTTTTTTTAAAGGGTAGCGAGACTTAATTTCATCCGTCGTTATATTCTATAATGTCTGCAAGCCTTCCTAATTGGTATTGCAGTCTTTCCATTTTATTTGTTATTTCAGATGCGAAAATTAAAGACAAGATAACCCCTTTACAAAATGCTGTGGACCCTTTTCATTCAAATCATTAATTTGTATTGCGATTTAAGATCAGTTTATGTAAACCAAACAAGATTTGAGTCTTAACCATACTCCAGGGATGAAAAATTCGGGTGGGCTTTCACTCCACAGTTACCAATCAGGCTGCAGGTGAGATGGCCCATCCAAAAATACCCTGTAGGCCGGCAGGAACACTTCTATGTATTGGATCTCTAGTCTCATCTGTAGATATTCCTGTAATTAAGTTCTTTGGGCCAATAACAATAAAGCCTTGTTAAGATTTCGTATATGTCATCACTGAGCTAGTTTTATGCATGCCAATTGCCATGGACATATATATATATTAGTGGCTCGAGTCCGCCTTTTCAATTGTTCAAAACGGAAAGAGCACAGGGGATCTGTAATCGACCGGATCTTAGCGACTAGCTTCGATCTGGTCCGGTTCAATTCGTCATCATCTGGTTAACCTGTAGTTTGATTAATTCATAGCTCGATCAACCCCATCACTTTTATGACTTCTACCTTCTTCACTCATCCTCGATTAGTCCAATGTAAACCCGACCCAACCCATTTATATATTCGAATTATTAAATTAGGACGCTAACAAATACTTAAGGGTGTTGACACTAAACCCGATACATTACATATAATCATCGAATCAATATATACGAAAAAATCATTGAGCTGATAATAAACTTGCAAACACGCAATGTGAATTTGAGATTCATATACGTATATGCATGATTTTTCGGGTAAGAAGTAGCAATTGTTTGATAATAAAAAAAAGACTACAGGCCGGACAATCTTGTTTAGGAAAAGGTTAAAAGTCCAGACTTGAAATTAAGAATGTTTAGAAAAATAATTTGTTGAGTAGTTTAGTTGGAAAAAACTGGTTATTGCCACAGTAGTTTTTTTGTTCATTAACTCTTATTAGTATTAATGTAATTGATTAGTATTATCGTAATGAATTAAGTAGTAGACGACTAACTAGTAGTGAGGCGGCAAAATTGTTATTGGTTTTATAATTCGAAGGGGATTATAATTGTAGGTTGCGGTGGGTGTTTGCGGGGAGAAGGCCAAGTGGGAATCAGGTATAAAATGCACTTTCTAGTGCATATCAGCCTACACTGTATACCTAATCCTAAACCAACACATATATAAAAACAATCATTATATATACAATGTATACACACACATAAAAAGAAGTTGTGGGGTTACGTTGTGGAATTAAATGAGTACCACGAGTAGTAGTTGCGGAGTAAGTAACAACAGGAGAAATCACCAAGGTGAAGAAGGAGACGATGCCGACGAGCAAAGCCGACGGCGGCCATGGGCGAATATGTGTCCAGAAATCCTCCATTCCATCTACGCCAAACTGCTTCCTTCCCACCGCCACGGCACCCGCTTCGGCTCCGTTTGCAGTAACTGGCACCGAGTCCACTCCACCGCCGCGCTCGCCAGTCCCTTGCCGTTGGACTCACTCTCTTACGTCCAAATAGATGTGGCTGGTATAGACGCGAGGCATTACCAAAGGCAACATGGACGGCCAATCACGGAGGAGTTTCGAAGCATTCGCCGCTCAAGGATCGTCGCAAAGGCCGGCGCCTGGTTGCTTCTTAGGGAATCAGGCGAGATCTACAGTTGTTTCAATCCTCTGCTTCGATATCCTGCGAGCTTAATCAAGCTACCCGTACTGGTACGTAATGCATGCATCTTATCCTACGACCTAACTACGTACGTACATAGCTACTTAGGTTTGAGTTTATTCTAGTATTCTACCAAATTAAAGTTTGGAAAATTCAGCCATTCAGGGTATACACTTATTCACATGATATTGCTTGTGCGAATTGTTTGATCTCTCGTTTGCTATATACGCGCACTTATTTCTGCAGACGATGCATTATTGTACGTACCCCAACCCGAGACCCATCAAGGCTGCCTTCTCGGCACTGCCTACTGCTCGCGACTGGATGATTCTCGTGGTGTATGGCACTCGTTACTTCAGCACGCTTCGTCGTGGCAACTGGTTCTGGAGGACATATGATTTCTCCCAAGATGGAGAAAGGGCACAGATCTGCCTTGGCGTTGCATACAGAGATGACAAATTCTTCTGTTTGTTTGAAAAGGGTGATATGTTGATTTACAATGTTGAGAGGAACTTCCACAAGAGAGGGCGGAGGAGGATGTTGGCCACTACAAAACCTTTGCTACCTGAGCAACTCGATCACCTTGAGAGCTTACATGTCGTGGTGGCACCAACAACGAGCACAGAGAGTGCTCGAGATTGTCAGCGTGAGGAAGTTGGAGAGGAGACAGAAGTTACGGTGGTGAGTTGGGAACGAGATCTTTGTGCAAGTGGAAAGAACAACTTCCGACTGCTGACATTGGAGAGGAAAACTATGGTGTTGACAGACCTATTAAGGAATGATGATGATCAGGAAGCGGTATCCTTGGAGGAAGGAGAGATCAACAACAAAAGAGTGATTTTAGTGAAAGATGAGCTTCCCTTGAAGACGAAGAACTTTGAAGGTCTTTGCCATTGCATATTGCTTTTTATTTTTGCAATATTGTTCACGTTGTTTATTAGGTTGATTACATTTTGGTCTTTCAAATTACCATTGTCCAATTTCTTCTAGGTCATCCATAACATTTGTTGGGTCAAGATATATGTCCAATTCTTCAAATCAACCAAGTTATAAACAAAAACACTGTATTATGTAGGTCTGCCCTAACATGTGTTGAGGAGGGAGATATATGTCCTTTTTTTTCTTTCTTGTAGCCAGTATTCCACGACATTCGCCGAATTAAGCTGGAGTTCGACTTTCTTATATCTCATCGGAGGAGCGCAATGTCCATGGGTCAGAGAAATATGTTCAATTCTTCGGGTTTCCATGTCTAATATACGACGAAGTCTCTTCTCATGTCTATGGCATCCAATTTTGGCTACGTATGCAAGAATTTGTATGAAGTACACTCAAATGCAAACCTGACATTCTATTGAGACGTTATCTATTAAAATAAAAAATAACAGTATTTTATTTCTATAAAGAAAATATCTTTAAATCAACTCGTATCTCGCGCCGACTTTGCATAGCACACGCTACTACGAACTTCTTTATTCATGGCCATTCGAAGCCAGCCTTTGACATTGGCGTCGCATCGAGTCCATGCCCGCAACTCTGGATCTTTCTCTGGCTTAGGAATCATGCCGTCAACAAAGCCGAACTTGTTTTTGACAATCAAGGCGTCAGTCACATCTACAACCCATTCAGCATAATTGGTTGGATTGAGTGGATCGCCTACTTGCAGTTGATTGGTACTCTCCGAATGATGTAGGTATTAGATCGAGGACTGGTCGATATCACCATCGACGCGCCCTTTTACTGAGCTCCCGCTAGAGCCGAAAGACACGAACGTCATCGTGTCTTTCGTGCTCACCATGACTGCGAGAAGACAACGTTATTGTTGGACCTGTTGCTCTGATACCATGAGAAATATAAGAAAATATAAAAAATGAAATACGATCTTTTACGTGGTATCCCCGATTTTACGATCAAGACTAATAATCCATGGGAGAGTTCAGCCTCTCCGACTTTGAAGTAGGACAATTACACTGAGCAGAGGGAATGGGCTGCTCGGGTCTGGGCCGGGACGTCGATACATGGCCCAAAAAAGATTATCACTTTTCTGTGATAATTGGTCGATCGATTTATCCGCCGGAGAGCCATTTTTCTGGTGTAATTAATTAAGTAGTAGTTGTGGACGATGACTAGTAGTGAGGCGGCAGAATTGTTATTCGTTTCATAATGGATTATATATAATTGTAGGTTGCGGTGGGTGTTTGCGGGGAGGGCCCGAGTGGAATTAGGTATCAAATTCACTTTCTAGTGTATATATATCAACCAATACTAGACCTAATCCTTAACCAACACATATTATAAAACAATCATTATATACACACACATAAAGAAGTTGTGGTGTTACGTTGTGGAATTAGATGATGACAACGAGTAGTTGCAAAGTCAGTAACAACAAGAGAAATCACCAAGGTGAAGGAGGAGACGAGCAACGACATCGACGGACATGGGCGGATATGTGTCCAGAAATCCTCCATTCCATCTACGCCAAGCTGCTTCCTTCCCACCGCCACGGCACCCGCTTCGGCTCCGTCTGCAGGAACTGGCACCGACTCCACTCTCCGACGTCCAAATACATGTGGCTGGTATAGACGCCAGGAATTACCAACGGCAACATGGACGGCCGATCACATGGGAGGAGTTCCGCTCAAGGATATGTGTCCAGAATTAAGTTTTCGAACTCATTAAAATTCCAAATCCTGCAAATATTTAAAAAGTTTGTTATAACTAAGGCTGCCTAGTCTTCAAATGTTCTGTGCCTTGGGCATTGCCATGTGACTGAGAGGAAGAAAGAACGACTTGGGCCCTAATCTGCTTGGTGGACCGCTGCGGGCTAACAAATTCCATTGTGGGCCCGGATTTGCCCATGGACAGTGCGGGCTTGGATTTGCCATCCCAAAATTGTCTTGATTAGCAATGGTTATGGAGATCAGTGTAGGATTAATTCCTTTATGCCACAACTTTATCAAACATAAAGCTAAGCCACTTGCTTGCTCTAATGGGCATGTGCACAGTGTTATAAATCTTTGTGAATCTAGTAAAGTAGCCATTTTTCCCCCTTTAATCGACACTACAATAATTCTAGTGGGGAAGGGTGAATTATCTACAAGAATTGTTAAGTTGGTGATTGAAATGCAGTTTGAGTCCAGTACAGTCTCACAAAAAATTCTAACGGTCATGGGCGTGAGTGAGGTACGTGGTTCATGGGTCGGCAAAAAAATTATCGACACTAATTCGAGTGGGTAGCGAATGAGTTTAGGTCACTAGATTAATAGTAAATATTCGTTTGTTCTTCATACAATTAGTGGGTATTTTATATCACCCCACTAATAGTTAAGAATTGTCTTATCATAGTGGGGATTAAGAAATTCGCACAAGAAAAATAAAATCAAGCAAAAAGGTAATCCTGCCACTGGAATTCTCAAAAGTCAAGTTTGTTGTGATGAGATTGGTATATGGTAGGTGAAACTCTCCAACAAAGTGATAACTAACCCCAAAATAAAATCTAAAATCAGTGGGTATTTTATATATTTTTTTCTTCTTCTGAATTCCAATTTGGAGGGCTTCTTTTGCATAGGTCAGTCAAGCCCCCCACAACTATTAACTATACTCTTAGTTTTCTTTCCCCCACTAAACTTGATTAAATAAACATGTTTAGCATATTGATGACAGGATTAGCTGATGATTAGGCGGATCATTGGTCCTTCTAAGATTGAAACCTGCTAAACTACAAATTACTCGAATTATATATATAATTGCTTTGGGAAATGATATATGTAATAAAATTTAGTAAATTGAGAGGATCTAACATATTTGCCACTTCATAGATTCCAAAGAGGTTTTTAAGCTAATAAACAAGTACGAGCTTGTGAGCATCGAGCATGGATGCATATTGCATACTGATGCAAATGGGATGCCATAATGTTGGATATCATCGAGCATGGCTCTAGCATAGTAGCATCATATCTAGGTAGACCCATATATTTTGTGGTGACTTAAGTTAGAAGATAAATGACTCGATAAATGTACAATACACGAGTAAGTATATACCTAATGACATAGAAACAAGATCTCTCAAATGGAAATGTCAAAAATTAAGATAAGAACATAGAAAGCAAAAAAAGGAAAACATGAGCAGTATCTAAACGATGAATATCACTGGAAAATTTCACAAAATATCCATATACCACACTCAAATACATAATCATTTCTACTTGTTCATCGTCTTTTCCTAAAATATTCACCTTGAATAACCCTCGAATCGGTTCACTTCTTTATTCGATATTGTTCTTAGCTAACCTAGAGTAAAATACTGATAACATCTTGTTATACGAGACTAGTTTTTTTACCTAGACAAGTATATAAGACAATGACTTGTAATTCTTTGCAGAAAGTGCCGAAGAAACTAATGCATAGAGTGATTCGACAAAAGCTAATTAGTCACTATTCAAAATGGACAGCTTTTTTGTCAGCTTGACAGCTTCTCTCAATCCACCCATCTCTCACTTTCATAAAAATATCCAACAAATTTGTAGTGGGCTGATTGAGAGGTTGATCTTATTTGAGAATTATTATTCTATTCAATGACACAAATCATGTAAATATTGACACAGTGCATTCTCTTTTTTATTTGATGGTAACTTAAATTTTAGCTCTTGTACTCATGATCATTTTTCTTAAATCTTGTTTTACCAATATTTATGAAACTGTATCGAACATGCGGTTCAACTGTAAAAGCCTCATACCGGAGAATAAATCGATACGTGATTTTCAACATATGAAATTAATTACAATTAATCCATGATTTCAACACAAAATATCCTACTACTATTTTTTCTGTACAATTTCGATACGGTTTTACAATTGTTGACATTTTTACATGTCGATTAACCCCAAGTCTCCAACCATGGTTACTTGTGGTGGAAGCCACGTACCCATAGTCAACCCCATATTACTAAGCACCTTAAAGCATCTTAACATTGGATAAGTTGTTTCTCAGTACGTTTCAATTAGTTGTTTAATAAAGAACCGTGAAAGAGGTTGCACCCAAGACAAAGGGGGGAACGCCATAGAAATACTTCTCATTCCGGCCAAACACTAAGCATCAATAGTGATAATCACTATGCAATAATGCAAACTATTCACACTAGCTAGTTGTTTTTTTTTTGATAATTCACACTAGCTAGTTTAGTTTACACTATTATTTAATACTTAGTTGGTTACCAACTTAATCAGTATTGTAACGTTTGTATTCAATTGTTATAAAGCTACTAGCTTTAATAAATAATATCAGACCAAGTAACAATAAACAATCACTTTATTAACAGAAAGATATTAACTAAGTCCTTATATAGTGGGATAAGGAAAAAAGAAAGAAAAAGAGAAGAAAGAAATCAAGTAAAAATGCAAAAACGGAAAACATCATCACGCTAATTTCGTGCTATGATTTTACCGTAACTCTAGACATGAATGACCGATTTGTTAGAATTTTTCATATATATATTTGTAGAAAGATAAGTTTCGGTCGATTGTTTGATTAATAGAGATTTATCTTTTTCATAGATTATGAAATTTGTGGTTGTTGTTATACGACACTCTTGAAATTTTACGTCACACTCACAGATTAATAAGTTCTCAATACACCATTAAGGAAAGATAAAATAGAAGTAATTTTTGAAGAAAGTTTAAATAGCAGTGAAAAACAAACTGACAAAAATCTCTATAATTTCCCGTACAAAATTTAACTTTTTACCTTTTGGCTTTTACCCTTTCGCTACATAATATTACATTTTCGTCTCTCAATCTCTCTCAAGTCTCTTCTCATTATTCTGGACCAAATAGTTTGGACGACTTTCAAACTCCTTGAAAAGAAACGCTTCTTCTCTTTCCCCTCCTCTGCCTCCTTTCCAATTCTCTGTCATTGTTTCTTCCTTCTCCACTCTCTCTCCGCGGCGGAGAGAAGAAAAAGGCGAAATAGAAAAAGGAAACGTTTTTATCGTTGATGATCAGAGTGAAAACCGTAGCTTTGGAAGTTTAATAGTCGGTTCTAGGCAGAAAACAGAGTGGAACAGAGGAAAATGGGTTCATGTGTATCAGTTCACAAGGCCGCTGGGACGCCAGAGTCCGCCATGAAAATGGGTGTTTCGTTTGGAAGTTCCAAAGGGGACAAGCTCGAGAAGCTCGTCGTCCTCCCTGAATCCCCTGTCAAGGAAAAGCTCGTCGCTTCCGCCGTAACCGTCGATGACCTTCCAATCAAGCGCTTCCACAGCTACGGTATTGTTTAAACCTTGTTCCCAAATCGAGAGGGGCTTTTTCTTTGTCTTTCTCGAGCTTTTCTTGTTTCCCTTTCCCCCCGTTTGCTCTAGTGGGGTCTGATGATCTTGAAGAACTGAGTAATGGGTTCGCTTGACTACGAGTCAAAGTTGTGTTCTTTGAATGATTCTGGTTGTGTTTCGATTAGAAACAAAGTGTTTGATTTTGGTCCCAACTGGGGTTTTGATTGTTTCCTTCCTTGTATTGTTCTACTCTCTTGCGATGGGTTATCTGAATCACGGCGCCTTCCGCTTGCAATCTTGGAAGAGTTAAAAGGTGTTGGTATAAGAGTAGAGAACTTCCGCTGAATTCCTTACAGGAATACAGGCTGCGTTCTCTGTGTTCTTACATAGTTCTATAATGATCTAGCTGCTCCTGTAGGAATTCAATTTGAAAGTTCTAATCTTTCTATTAGGAAGTTCTTTATAAGCTATTGCTATGATTTATTCCCTTTCCTTTTTGTTGTTTTGTTTTATCTGAATGATTGAATCTGGTAACCATGAGGAGATAGTGGGGGAGGAATGGAGGGAGGTTGTTGTGAATCGGTGATGGATGGTTTATTGTAATTAGGCCTAAAAATCTCTCAGCAGCAATAGACAATTGACATTATTGGAAGAATCCCTAAAGCCTAACGGGACAAGTCATCTCAAGCATTTGGATCTTTCTTTTCTTTCTTGCCCCCATTTATTATGGATGCTTGATTTCTTAAATGTATTCTAAGGATCCAATCCTTAAGGGGCCCCATCATATTTGGTTTGTCTATCTTCATAATTAATGGAAGATGGGTTGAGTACCCAACAAAATGAGGTTGAGGTGGATTGTTGGTTGATAGTGGTCCACATGAAAATGGAGGGTTTCATGAAAAATCATACCTCGTTCTAGTTTGTTAACCATTCATATAATGTGTGTTGTCTAGACAATCTCCTTTGATATTTCTTGTGCTAATTGATTGACACACTTCATCAAGTTTTAGTTATAACCGACAATGGAATTAACGTTGTTAGTATATTTTGAAACAATGCATCACTTTAAGTCATATGTTATATGCTATTATCCCCAATCGTTTGTTGGAAATTTATTAAGGGAGCAAGTTGTTTTCATGTCATATTTGTAAATCAAGTTAAAGGTTGTGCTTTATGATGGTATTAGGCCTAAAGTTTATCAGTGGTTTTGTATTTTGTTTGCTAATGTGTTTATCAAGCATGTTTCTCCATATTATTGCTCCACTTTCCATCTACATATTGGTTGGGGTTTCCCCCACTGCCCATTTGGGGTTTCACATTGAATTGTCTGTTAGAAAGTGTCCCATTATTCCTCTGCTTCAAGGGAATTGACAAAAGTAGAAGAAAGAAGCAAGTCACTAGTTGTGGTGGTTGTGGGAGAGAAATTCCAGTTATTGATATTTTTACCAGATCTCAGACTCGTCTTTCTGTCGAGAAAAATATTAACCTCTGTCTATGTGATTTATGGTGGTAAAAGTAAATGGATTTGATGTGTTTGGTGAATAGTGGGGAAAAGCAGGAGTGTTTGTTACTCAAAGGATGCTACTATCGTTTTAAGTTGCTTTCTTCTGTCTCTTATTACTTGATTACTGAAGCTGATTTTTACTTTTACAGGCAGTAAAGAGGATACATTCTTTGATTCCCAGCCCTGGTTGGAATCTGATGGTGAAGATGATTTCCACAGTGTCAGGGGCGGTATGTAAACTCTTAGCTGTTTGAACTCGCTCACACTTTGTTGGAAAGCTTGCTTGGTTCTTCATTTCTCTCTGCATGAAAATGGAGAAGCCTGTTCTTCATTGAAAGGAAGCCTGGTTCTTTCATGCTGTGTGTTCTTCCTAGTCTTTTTATTTCACAAAGATATTACAGAACCGTTTCTGATTGTCTGTTTAAACACAGATTTCACGCCGTCTCGTGGGAGCACTCCAGTTCATCACAGTTTTGCAATGGGAACCCCTCAAAGTAACAAACCGGTGCTCGAGGTGACACCTCCTGAACATTCAATACCCGAGCCAACCCCTCAAAGGAACAAACCGGTGCTCAAGGTGACACCTCCTGATCATTCAATACCCGAGCCATCCCCTACAGGAAAGAAGAAGAAGAGACTTTCTGAACTTTTCCAAGACAGCATGAGGGAGCGCAGCACAGAAGACAATGTATCCCCTACCAAATCTGCTGAGGACACACCATATGTCTCCGGTGTCAACTCTGTCTGCAGCAGTGAGAGGACTCCCAATGGGAAAGCTATAGTGGAAGAGAAATGGTTTAACAAGTCGATGCAAGGTTGCCTCCCAAGCTTGGTCTCCTGCCATAGTTTTAGTTATAGGAAGAAGAAGATGATGAGCCCCCCAGCAGCTGTGGCAGTAAATGGTGTAGCTTAATGACGAAGTCATCCATCTTGGTTCACAATGCTCATGTATATCGATCTTTTCTATGACTTCACTCTTTGTCAGCCAGATAATGTATAGTACCCCCCATGAGACTAAAGGGCATGAAAATGAAGTCGAGGCATCAGGAGGATTAAAACCTCTCACATCATCAGCCCCTAGTGAAGGTTATGTGACATCCTCAAGCTCATAGGTTTTTCTTTCTTTCGTTTCGGAAGGATATATCAGTCACTCTCAAATAATGAGCTTGTAGTGGTGATGACATTGATCTTCATGTATCTATGATAACTACAAGGAAGAGATCTTTATTTAATCCTTCTGCAGGCAGTCAGAATCCTGCAGAGTATTCACATATAGCTTTTTTTTCTGTTGACGATGCTTGCTATCCAAGGAAAAAAACATGCATCTCATTCCCTTGTGATGGTTACTTGTGAAAGGAGAAAAGGGTAACCGTTCCAAAGGTGATGAATTTGATAGAAGTTGAGAAATGACAATTTGCCAGGAAACAGGCAAAAGGGCACATCCTAGTCCGTGTCCAATAAGGATTGCTGATCTCAGGAAAAAAGGAAGGAGATGGGTTATCAGGATTTTCCCAACTCCAGAAGCTACTAAACTGCAAGTTGTTATATGAGACGTCTGTGAGAAAAGCTTGTAGTCACATAAATCATGTGTCCCCAGAAAGATGATCTTCCACCTTTCTCATCTCATGTATGTGATGTGGTTATAAGATTGATGGGACCATACTACTATATGCTTGCTTGCTTGCTTCAGACGTCACCTTTCTCTTTCGAGCTTGATTTTGCAATATCAGGAATTCAAGACAAAGGCCTCTTGTGCCTTTCATCCTCAACCCAACCCCTCAGAGGCCCAGTACAGATTTCTTAGCCCATTACACACTTTGATAGAAGACCTCATAACTGATCCACAACTCAAGACAGTGAGAAAACTTATGTCTAACTCATGATTAGCAATCAATGGATCTCTGCACTATGTAAAAGAGGAATATAACTTGAAATTGAGAAAAAAAGAGAAAAGACAACTGTATCACTTATGACATCAACTGCATTATGATAACCTAGTGAGTCAATGAGCAATATGAATACCTTAGTCCTGAGTCTTGACCATTATGGAGGGTCACATGAATGGACTAAATGGAATGGAGAGGCTACAAAAGAAACTGCAAGAAATAAAATTTCTTTTGTTTTCCTCTTCTGCAATGGGAAGTTTCTATACTTGGTCTTATTTTAGTTATATTATATTCTACTTTAGTCCCGGCAATCGGAACGGGTCGAGTCGGGTTGGATGACTTTAGATTACCAGTCGTTGAGGATAACGGGTCATGTCAGGTTGGTTGATGATTTTGGATCACATATTGATTCAACTAAAAAGTTTTTGCACGAGTTTTCGATTATTTTTATGTACGAGCATTCTCACAAATAAGAATAAGTATGTTAGAAATGGGAAGTTTCTATACTTGGTATCAGGCCATATGTTAGCCCCTCTGCCACCTACCATAGCTCTTAGCATAGCAAACAAAAAATGGGATTGTTCATTTCAACCCAATGAACCCAGATTTCAATCTTGTTGAACATTTTCACAGACTTTACAATAGCAACGAGGTTATCTGTGTTCAATAAAAAAAAGTATCTTATCTATGATTTCTTGACATCTTGACGATGTAAATGAACCTTCTGATTGCGAGCCGTTTCTAACAAAAGTTTACTTACATATACTTCACTATAAACATTGAAAGACAACACTATAAGTTCCGTGTTTAACCCATCTTTCGATAACTCGAATTTTTGATGAGGCCAACTAGTTCTTGTAAGTGTCAAACCCTCCAATGATTGAAACATCTTATGTGGTAACCCCACAAATTAATGTTTGATCTTCACACACTTTCTATTGAGTCTGTGCAAACTCTCAAGCCATGTATTAAATCTTGTTTGAAAAAGCATGAACAAAAGTGATATAAAATTCTTATTTGCAGCTCTGCCAACAATTCGATTTATAGAATTAGAGACAACTGAATTCTTGTGCAAAAGAAATGTAAGGAAGTATGGTGATGGATCATGGTCCAAAATGTCTCTGTTAGGGGATAGGAAACACTTGAAAACTCAGGCTTACTTCCACACTAAAACTAGAGGTGTGAACAGCAGAAAAAAGAGGCAGTCTCAAAGACACCATCCTCTGTTTTTTTTAGCACCCCAACCCATAAATCATCCCATCTCCCAACCATACTCTCAAATCATTTCAAGTCACCACCTTTCTCATAACCCTTTTTCATTGTTTGTTTCCTTCAAAATCTTTGGGACTTCCCGCGCAAAACCATTAGTAAAAAAGGGTGAAATCCAAACCACCATAACCATCCGTCCACGAGCTCAATCCCACTAGTTATGCTAGAGCTTTTTTGGATTCTGCTTTGGCTTTGGAGAGAAATGGGCTAAAAAGTTCCAATCTTTATCGTACTTTCATGAAAGAAATTGGCTCCCAAAAATGAGAAAGTTGCAATGTGATCTATCATGATCCAGGACCCTCTCAAGTATGCCCTTCCACTCAACCATTTTGTTGGTTTTTCCCACTCTGGATCATGATCATCCAAGTTTTGGACCCCACCATTGTTGGTTTCTTGTTCATAGCACAACAGAACAAACCCATATATGCTTCCAACTCTTGCCAGCCAGCCATGCCTTTTTTAGAAATCTGTTTAAGGTTTCACAATTAAGATTTCTTCTTGATTCATCATTCCTATATAACCAGCTCATCTTAATCATTCGATTTTCCGAGGATACCATAACAGACTTTATATCATTCGCTTACACGCATCCTTAAATTAAAACTAGCTTACAGAGACATGAAATTTGCACAATTTTGCAAGTAAGACCTTTTTGCCATCATAGATCAAGTTCCAATAGCTTGAGCTGCTGTCCAAGCACTATCTTCTTACAGCAATCATATACGGCTTTCTTTCTTTTTTGGTTTTCCATCATTTGAAGGAAAACTGTTTTTAGTTATGAATAACCCTCAAGAAATACACTCATATCCCCCTTTTGTCTTCAATCCCTGCAAATCCTTTAAGCAATTCAGTTATGCATATACACACAACCCTTCTCTCAATTCCCAACCCAAAAAGATAAGATGCAGACAACAGAATTTTTTTCTTTTTCAAACCCCCTTTTCACATTCTGTCTGGTCTTCTCTCAATCTCTCTGCCTTCCAATCCACCTTTTCCTCTCCTATATAAAGGGCAGCTTCCCCTTTACACCCTCTCCCCATCACCCAAACACACAAACATAAAGCATCCCACAACTCCAAATCACATCATTAACTAGCCTTTGATCATGGCTCCTCATGGCCTCACCAAGTTGCTCAAACTGAGCTTCTATTCCTTGGTAGCAGCCATGATGGTCATGAGTCATCAAACTCATGGCTTCAGGTTGGATCCACTGTGGAGGAAGAAGAGCAGAAATGTGGTGATTGATCCCACCCCAATTGGGATATGTGCTTCTTCTGTTTTGGTTCATGGATACAAATGCCAGGAGATTGATGTAAGATGCTTATGCTATATAACTAGTGCTTAGTAGTCTTTATGCATTCATGGAGATTGATGATCATCTGTAATTTTGCAGGTGGTAACTCAAGATGGGTTCATTCTCAACATGCAGAGAATTCCAGAAGGTAGAGATGGGAGTGGAGGTGGTGATGGAATCAAGAGGCAGCCTGTCCTAATTCAGCATGGAGTCCTTGTGGTAAGTGCTTTTACTTCAGTTCTGAGTCCTGCAGTTTTGCAAGGGCCATAAAACTCTTCCCACCAAATATAACTACATGCTTTAGCCTTAGTTACACAACCTTGGCAGCAGCCTCAATGCTCCTAGAAGATACATACTTCACAAATCACGACTCTAATGAGCTCAGAACAATGCCGAAAAGAACAAAATTTTCAGTTATTTAACCACAACTCTTGTAACATGAAAACACCAAGTAAAAAACTGGTTTCGCACTTGGTTTTGATCTTCCTTTCCTAAATAGTAATAAGCTAATGATAGCTATGGTATACATGCACTCAAGTTATGTTTACTTTTGGTACATCAATCTAATTAAGTCGGGCTCAAAAACCATAAAGGTAAAAGGGAATTTGTGGAGACAAGAGAGTGGAAAGATGGCTTTTTTTAAAGGTGAAATGGGGCACTTGTGTGAATTTAGTGGACTTACAATTTATGAATATGGGTTTATTGTATTCAAATGAGAGATGGATGGCCATTTGTGAATGGAATCTGAAAAATTGAGTCTTTTTTTATTATAAATTTCCTCAATTAGTTAGTTATATTAGGGCTCCTGAAAGTAATAGAAAAAGCATCAATGTAAAGTTGCCGTTACTGTTCTTTGAAACTGATTCCTTGCTCCCTTTTCTGATAGAGCTTTCAAATTGGCCTCCATCAAGAGGGTCCATTCTGTTCAGTGTGAAAAATGCAAAAGACCCAATTATGATTCCAGAAAATAGGGGAAAGAAAAATGGCATTTTTTATCTTTTAAGAAACCAATAATTCACTTTTGTTTGTTTTCCTTTTACAAGTGTTTCATCCTATGTCATTTCACATTGCTGCATAATAGAATTTGTGTTTGCTATACTGACATATTGTACCTTTACAGTTTGCTTAATAGGAGTGTGTTTGCTTTGTAGAATTCCTGTCCCCTTCCTTCTATAGTTGGTATAAACTACAATGGAAAATATTATTAAAAAAGTGCAGAAAGTAAAATAGGAGTAAATGTTATGGAGAACCGAAACAAAAAGAGATGAAAAGGAGGGTATGAATCAATCAGCTAAAAACAAAATCCACGATATTTTGCTATTTGTAGATTGTAGATAATATCTCTAAAAACAACAATTTGATGACTCGAACAAGATATGTTTAATACAATTGTATATATGTGTCTTGAAACATTATGAAGACGAGAAATCAAGCTAAGTAAATTATTCACAATCACATAATCAAAGGGTAATTACTAAATAATATTTGAATTCATCAATGGTAGAATCATTTTTTTGGCTGATCTCGATCAGTTATCTAGATAAATTTTCCAATACTTCTATTTATTAACAAAAACTAAAATTAATTAAAAATAAGATAAAACGAGGTAATCAAATCAAAATCGTCATCCTAACTAGAAATATGACACAAGAGTATATAGGAAACATTTACATTCCCAAAAATCCTCCATTCCCACTCCCATTCCCAATCACCAATGGGAAGTATGCCTAAAGGGACAGGAATTGAAGTAGTTCCTGCCAAATGTTCTCTGGTGGCAGAGTTTAAGGAAAACTGTCTGCAGTTGTGTTCTTGACTTACTGGGAAGAAAAGATGGGCTAGATAGATAGGGTTCGTAAATTGATGCACTGTTTGATGGCCCAAACTTCGAAATCTCACAGAGCCAGAGAAGATTTTATCCTGTACAGTACTAAATACCAAAAGGACACATGCAACTCATGCACGACGTCCCCTGTTGTTTGTCTGGATTATAACGTGGCCCAATTCTGTTTGAGTTCGTCTCAAGCAAGAGCTTGTCCAAGCTACATCCACCTGCCTACATGGTATTGGGCTTTATATCTTATACACATGGTCTTATTTTAGTTATATTATATTCTACTTTAGACCCGGCAATCGGAACGGGTCGAGTGATTTCGGGTTGGATGACTTTAGATTATCAGTCGTTGAGGACAGCGGGTCATGTCGGGTAGTTTGATGATTTTGGATCACATATTGATTCAACTAAAAAGTTTTTTTACGAGTTTGCGATCATTTGTACGAGCGTTCTCACAAATAATAATAAGTATGTTCGAAAATTTATTCCACCGTCATTGTACAATGCTAATTATGTTGAAAATGAAGGGATTTTATTGTAGCTTGAACCAATTAACTAGGTCGATCATTCAAGGGTTACCTTAAAAGGAACATGATTTGAATCGGAAGATCATGAAAGAATCATATAATAAAATTTGTACTAGTTTGGTTTTATGATGATTAAAATACATCATACATCCTTGTTTCGTAAATACTAATTTATTTTTCATGTGGTCATATTGTCGTTCGAACACAAATAATTTAGTAACCGATTATGATGGTAGATACTCAAGTTAGAACTTTTTCCGATAATGATTTTTCTTTGGCTACAGGATGGAATGACATGGCTTCTGAATTCTCCAGAGCAAAATCTACCCCTGATCTTGGCCGACAAAGGCTTTGATGTTTGGATTGCTAACACCAGAGGAACCAGATTTAGCAAGAGGCACACCTCTCTAAAACCCAATGAACATGTTCTCTCTCTCTCTCTCTCTCGCTCTCTCTCAAACTCATAATAAGCTGTACAATCAAAGCTAACAACAACCATTGGAAGTACAAATGGAAGTAGTACTACGTACTGTATAAGGGTTCTTTTCATGAGGTAACTCTCTCTCTTTGCTTGTTGAAAAACCTTGCAGGCTTTTTGGAATTGGTCATGGGATGAGCTAGTTCTGTTTGATCTCCCAGCTTTTGTTGACCATGTTCAACAAGAAACTGGTCAGAAGATGCACTATGTTGGACATTCCCTGGTAAGACCCATAAAGTTCAGGTACCAAATTCCAATTCCCAAAGATATTGGGTAGTACTGATAGAGTTTTCTTGTATGTATTGATGATGGCAGGGGACTTTGATAGCATTGGGATCATTCTCCGAAGGGTTGCTTGTGGACAAGCTGAAATCAGCTGTATTCCTAAGCCCAATTGCCTACTTGAGCCATATGAACACTGTCATTGGAGCTCTTGCTGCCAAAGCCTTTGTTGGTGAGGTAATGTACATATGATCCTAATTTCTCCAGTAACAGTGATGATTCAAAGGGTGAAAGAACCAAACATAAGATGTCTTTTGCTTGGTTGCAATCAGATGACTGAACTGCTTGGTTTTGCTGAGTTCAACCCTAAAATGTAAGTAGATTCTTCTCCCAGCAGCAGCCTATAAAGAAAGAAAGAAAGAAAGAAAGAAAGAAACAGAGAGCTTTATTGGAAGAATGTTCTGACTAAGTTGAAGTATTGTTTCTTGACAGGAAGCTAGTTAAGCAGTTTCTCGATGCTCTATGTGCTTCCCCTGGAGTTGATTGCTATGACCTCGTTTCTGCCTTCACTGGTACACACAATATAACATTGATCATCAGTTCAACCTTTTGATTCTCTTTGATGCTACAAATTGGTCATCATAACTTCAATTTTCACGAGTTGGGTCATATATAATAGATGGTCGTCGTAACGAGTTGATCATGATGGATAATGAGTCATAATGGATAGCGAATTATAATTGTTACGCCGTAATTGGTTTTGGGTCACCAACAAGCGGACAGAAGAATGTGCCAAATGATTCAGAGTCATGATTTGAGTTTCTTGATTTATATCGAGTTGAAGGTGTCATCACGAGTCGAATTAATGTGTGTTATGTGTCGTTTTTGGTGAATCGGCTTTGTGAATTGGGTCAAAATTTACTCACCTCAAATCTCAAATTTGACAGGGAAGAATTGCTGCCTGAACTCATCAACGGTTGACCTATTCCTGAAGAACGAGCCTCAATCAACAGCCACCAAGAACATGGTCCATTTAGCTCAAAGTAACAATCTTTTCGATCTCCTCTCGTTGTATTGTTTAAGAATGAATCTTATATCACGAAATGAGAAACGATCATATGATCCTTCTTCTCGTTTGCAGCGGTCCGAGATGGCGTGCTAGCAAAGTACAACTACGGCACGGCCGACTACAACATGATGCACTACGGTGAGGCCTCGCCGCCGGTGTACAACCTCTCCAACATCCCGCACGACCTGCCGGTGTTCCTCAGCTACGGCGGCCAGGATGCGCTCTCCGACATCCGGGACGTACAGCGGTTGCTCGACAGCTTCAGGGAACATGACGTGGATAAGCTGTCGGTTCAGTACGTGAGGGAGTATGCTCATGCTGATTTCATTATGGGCGTCAATGCCAAGGACATTGTTTTTAACCAAGTCGTCTCGTTCTTCCAGCACCACACTTGAAATGACCACAACAAATGCCATGCCAAATGGGTCCTAATCTAGCTATAATATAATCAATCACACACAATAATAAGTATATATACATCTATATTAGTTTCTTGCAAATCAAGAAACTAGCTTTGCTCTGCCTCTCTTTTAACCTATTGTAACACTAATAAACCTCTCGAATCTATAGAGTACGTACTTTATGGTTTATATGTGTAAGTTAGTTGTTGAAGTTGTGTTATTTGCACTTGTTTAGAAAATGGTAGTTATTTAGTTCTATTGGGCTGAATTGATCGATGGATTGAGCGTACGATCTAGACACAATCAAATTATATTGAAATATATATGATATAGTTTGGCTTTCTAATTTTATTGTTAGATTGTTTTGGTTTTCGACTTTATGAGACTTTTTTTCCAGATTTGAGCGACTAAATAGGATTGAAACCCCGAATCCAATTGGGTTCAATTAGATACGACTTCTAATCCTTATCTTTCCTTTTGATTCAATTCTATAACAACTAGTTGCAATAAATGCCGCGACAAGGATCAAGCGGCTCATATACAAGCCTAATACAACCAAAAGTCCAATACGTACATAAGCCTAATCAAAAGGAGAGAAAAAATCACAAAGCCCAAATACAAGGACCAAAAGAGAACAAAATACAACCCCAAAACCAAGCAAACAAACGGGCCCAATTAACTTTCAACCCAAGCCCAAGTCTTCAACGATCATCTATCTTCAGCCACCCTACAAACTCCAGACTGCCGCCGACATGCATCCACCCCAAGCTGAACCACCACCACCGACGCCGCCGAGGTAGAGTGAAGTCAGTCAGAGGGTTTTGAAATAGAGAGCCACTTGCAGACAAGACTGCTCTCACTTGAGGATATGCATATAGTGACGATACTACTGAAACAAGGGACACACAAGGAAAAATCCGATCCGCCCGCAAACAATAATAATAAATGCAACCGTATCTCGCCCGACACAATTAAATAACTACCACTCGTTTCGCTTCTCATAGGTGTGGCTTTGCTTAAATCCAAGTTCCCATCTTCATTAACGTTCATTCTATCCATCTCTTCCTTCACTCACTGTTATTTCCACACAGAAGCCCTACTTAGTTCACACTACCTACCTATACGCCGCCGTCGACAGAACTATTTCAACAAGCCTAGCTAACTAGCTAGCAAGTAGCAAGCACATACAAACAATATTTATTTGCTTTCAGCCAACCAAGCGTCCGGAACAAAAGAAGATGCTGGATGTGTGGTCCTGGATATCCGACCTTCCTTTCTCCGGCGAATGGGGCGCTACTGATGATAACTCGGTGTCAGCAGCAGTACTCGTCTTCCAACTTGCTACTTCACCATGCGACCCAACTCGGACTCTCCAGCTCCAAGCCCAACGAACGCCTTCTTCTTCTCCGGCAAACTCGGACGTTTTTTTTATCACTTTAACCGTATGCTTACGTGGCGCCACTCCCTCCACGCTCTGGGCCTCCGACCCCTACGTACTCAACTCCAGTGGTCCGACCACCAACAGCACTTTCCTGCTGCCCCTCCTCCTCCAGCTCCTCCAGGAGATCGTCACCCGGGCACCCACCACGCCGTACAGTAGCTCCGGCCAGTTCCAGAAGCTTCGGCCCGAACCGGTGTCCTGGATCTTGGACACCCACTCCCCAGAGTCCTTCTCCAGCTTCTTCAACCTCGTGTTGCTCACCCGCCTTTTCTGGGCGTGTGCGTGCGACGCGCCCTCCGAAGTCGGCTCCTTCTACCTCGACTCCCTCCTCTGTCCCAACATCGACTCCCTGCTCACGGCGTCCAAGCCGGTCCTTGCCAAGTTCTTGGTCGCGGTCGGAGCGGACGCGGAGCTGTGCTTCGTGCGCACCCTGGGGTACATGTTAGCGAAATGGCTCATCTACAGAGAGGTGGCGGCCGGCGCAGGTTTGCGGACGCTGGTCCCGCCACCACTGCTTCCAGCTGGGTTCAGCTACGGCGTGGAGGCTTACGGGTACTGGACTCTCAAGGGCTACGCGCCCATCCCGGCCATGCGCCTTTCCGGAGAGCCAAAGCCGTTTCTACTCGAGCCGAACGAGCTATCGCTGTTGAAGTATGCTCTGGCGCATCAGCAGTTGGAAGCCGTCATTCAGCTGCACTACTCCGTCGCGTTTCACGAAGCGTACGTCCAAGTCAGCGCCCGAGTGGACAACCTCCGCTTCCACGTGGCGAAGCTCAGGTTCAGCAGCGACGACGGTGGGGAATCAGAATCAGAATACTCGGAGGAGAGGCACTTCGTGTCGAGGGTTCGTGCCTGGGTTGGGCCGGAGATCGGAGCTACCTACGTGGCGGGCTTGACCGCGGGCCGCTCGACGCACAACGGCGAGAGCGAAACGACGGAGCTACACGTTGGCAAGGGTGGCCCCAGAAATTTCGGGATGTTGGCCAGGGAGGCTACGAGAACGAGGGTGAAGGACTGGAGGTGGGACCAAGACGTGGAAGGGAACGGTGTCGTCTTCGATGCTGTCCTATACGATACGGCTACGGGCCAGGAGTACTGTAGCGGCGGTGGAGGAGACGGGCCCAGAAGAATGAGGAGCAGTGGGCCCAACAGGCCCTTCACGAAGGCGAGAGGGCTGATATTTGCCGGGAAGGAGTACGGCGATGAGGTTACGTGGAGGTTGGGGAAGGAGATGGAAGGGAGCGTGTTGAAATGGAGAATTGGAGGGGAGGTTTGGGTGACCTATTTCCCCAATCAAGTCCACACTTCCTTCTGTGAGACCAGGTCGGTGGAGTGGTGTGATGAGGTTGATTTGCCTTTGATCCCTGGGAAGTAGGGTGCCCGGCACGACAAAAATAATAAACTGAATTATATTATTATTAATGATGATATATTATATTTATACATTAGAATTGACCCGCTCGCTATGCTTCGTCGGAGTTGAAAACTGAATATGAAGTCCCAATTTCAAAAGACTATGCAAGTAATTAACCCTTGTGTTTTGTAAAAGAAAAGAGGAATAACATCCCGTATGTGGATGGTGATGTTGATCTATGACATACATGGGAGCTTGAAAGTATGATCGTGTTTGTGAGTCCCTTGCTCTTGCTGTGCTCTCCTTGGACACTGCCACATATAGTAGCTAGTATTCATAGGTTATTGATGCATGTTATATTTTTTTAGCAGTTCTATGAAGTAAAGACTTCATGAAGCTAGAGGGAGAGGATTGACAAAGTCTTTATTAATCTGGTCAACCGGTTTGATTAAAGCAAGACTTAATTTGCAAAGTGGCTGTGGGTAGTATATAGCCAGCAGGGTGAGATTAGTGGGATTTGGATTTTAAAATTCAAAATTTCATTGTCTGGCTAACTTTTTAATGTTGTATTTGGATTTGGATTAAATTCAAGTTGGATTTCGGCCCATATAAAAGTGAGAATTTCAAATACAAAAAAAGGATTGATTTAGAAATGAACGACGAAGGTCGCTGAAAGAAGCCCAACCTCGACTTCTTCGCTACTTCCTTCCTTTCCCAATTGAAACTCGCATCCCCAACCGAACTCTCGCATCAGCGTAGCCTCCATATATATAGTTTGGCTTTATAATTCTAATTTCAAGATTGTTTTTTTGGTTTGCGATTTTAAAAGGCTTTCTTAAATCTGAAAAACTAAACATGATAGAAACCATACAGAGTCAGACTCAATTAATTGTGGTGTCAATTCGGTTATGTTCCTTATCTTTCCTTTTGATTCGATTTTGTAACAATTTGGTCCGATTGTGGATCTAACTGGCTCGTACCCATCTTTGATAAAGAACACAAGATGCCAAATCATGGAGAGGTTTCTCTAATTGGTTGCAATGACATAAGAAAGCAACAAAAAAAAAAAAAAGAAGCTTCTAGATCATGAGTAACCTGCTGGCTACCTTAGTTGCCAAGTAAAGCTTGTAATGATGGTACCAACTCTTGAACAAACAAGATTATGCTTCAAGGGAAATACTACATTTACTATAGTTTCCCACTGTGATTAACACTTAATCCTGTGCATCCACTTCATTATCATAGCTCAAATTGACCATACTGTCCACCCTAAAACATGTCACATGAACCTGACTCCAAAGGACAATCAAGTCATTTTACATGATGCTTGTGAAGCTAGCTAGCTCATGTTTTCTCAATTTCACACAGGCAGAGTCAATCATTCTACTGTCACAACCCTGAATTTGGTAACTATATAAGGTCTCCATATGAGAAGCTGAATGCTCAAGAGCTAGGAGACCAGCAAACGGCATTATTAATAATGGAGAACTACAGAGCAATCTTCTTCACGGTGTTGTCTTTGGTCTGTTTTGTTGGGAAGCAAGCTTCAGCAGCTCAACATGCTGTTGGAGGAAGCCAAGGCTGGGATGAATCCACAGATTTCAGCTCATGGGCCTCAGCCCAGAAGTTCAAAGTTGGTGACCAACTTGGTATGTTTTTCATTTCCTATCACTTGTTTACCCTCGCTCTGCATCCACTTTCAAGTTTCAACTCAAACTTAGACCAGATATAATGTGCAATGCGAAACGTGGCTTTGCAGTGTTCAAGTATAGCTCAGGGCTGCACAGCGTGGTGGAGCTAGGGAGCGAGTCGGCCTACAAGAGCTGCGACCTTGGCTCTTCATTGGACTCCATGAGCACAGGCAACGATGTGGTGAAGCTGGGCAAACCCGGGACACGGTTTTTCGCTTGCGGGACAGCAGGGCATTGTGGTCAAGGGATGAAGGTGAAGATCACGGTCGAGTCTGGCAGTGCAGCGTCCACTCCGGCATCACCTTCAACTTCGTCTTCATCATCGTCCTCGTCCTCGTCTTCTGATGCTGTTCAGTCTGTTGTTGGATCCATGGCTTTGCTTGTGGGAGTTCTGAGCTTGAGCTTGTTGATGCCTCAACTGGTTTGAGAATTGAAGCTAGTGTATATTTTTGTACTATGTTCTTTTTATGCTTTATGTTTATGGAGGAGAATTAAATTCTGGTTAGTAACTGAGGAAATGTGGGTATGGTATATTTTGGATTTGTTTCATTTTTAATTTTATATTCTTTTTTAAGGATGGTTTTGTATTAATTTTACTTTGTAATAAACTAAGTGCAGACTATATAATGGAAAGATTCCAATTTCCTCTTTACTAAAGTTCATAGGTCTTTGATGCCAATATGATGATAGTGGTCCTAAATCTTTAGTACTATAATAACTCGAATTATTGAAAATAAGCCTAGTTATAAATTTTATATCATGTGTTAACATTGTGCAACGACTCAGTTTGTAGTACCAGATCAAATTAATACTTGGACATGATCAAATATAATGATGTTCGTTTCTTAGTTCTATGAACTTTTTAAATATTAAAGAATAAGAATCAACCTACACTTGGCGACCAAATTTTATTGAATTTAGGAAGGAGGATACAAATCAACCATCTGTATTGACATTTCAGGGATTCTAACACAAGACCATATGATATAGAACTCTGATAGTATATAATGAATCAGTTGGCTCTAAATCTAATATGTAAAAACTAAAGGGATCAAATATGAATTTTAGCCTCACAATAATTAACTGGCAATGCATATAAAGATTCTTGTTATATTTGAAGCATATTAAGTTATTAGATCTAAGTTAGAAAACATGAAAAGACAGTCCAACTGTAAAATAGGGTTGGGAAAATAGTCCAGACCGTTAGAAAAACTGTGATCCAAACCGTACCGCACAGTTTGGTCTGGACCGTAGACCGTTAAGTATGGTCTGGTCTGGTCCATGGTCTGTATTATTTTATGTTTTGATCTCTTGGTCTGGTCTGGTCTAGGCCGCGGTTTACCGGACCAAACCGTGGACCCAACTGACTTGTCAATACGTGTTAACAGCCCATTCGACCACTCTCCCAACTCCCACAACGACACCCAAGTCTCAACCTTCGTTTTGTGAATCTCGTCCCTCCTTCATTCACAACCACATTTAACCAGAGAGTAGAGATAATCGTGTCTCCATATGACATTATGTTAATGCTTATGACGTTATGGTGCAAGTTGGGATGCTTTTACTTTGTATCTTTGTTATATACTAAGATATAGAGTATCAAAATTATTCATGCATGTTAGGATTAATGATTTAAGGCAAATAACAATTATTTTTCCTGGTTATTGGTTCAATTTTTTGTGTGGTTGACTAAACAAATTATTTGTTTCTCATTGAGTGTGGTCTACCAGACCAGACCGAACCAGGCCGCACAGGCGTGGTCTGGACCGGACCGGACCGTATAGTCTATGGTCTGGTCTGTGATCTATACTTTAGCCTCTCGGTCTGGACCATAGACCGTATATATGATCTGGTCTGGACCAGACCGCACCGTTTCCCAGCCCTGTAGTGTTATGGCATTGCCTACCTAATTACTACTTACTAGTCATAATAATCCTACTTAATTAAGCTCTAACTCTAAGGATAAGATAAAACAAATGCACAGGTGAAGCACGTGACCTAGGTTAGTCAAATCGCGTGGGCTTTTCATGAATTGAAAAACCCAAAACCACAGCAGGCCCGGGCCCAGGAGCATATTCCTTTGTCCGTCTATTCGATCTCTTCCGCAATCAATTTTCCCCACGAGTTGCCAGTCAGATTCCGGTCTCCGTTGGACTCCCCAATTCTTTCCTTCTTCTTCTACTACTTCTTCGTTCAGTCCAATCCGGTTCCCCGATCACCGGAGCTCATTCAGCTGGACGACGTTCGGCGGAAAAACATGCCGGTGGAGACCGACTCTATCGACTACGTCATGGAGAAGGCATCCGGCCCTCACTTCTCTGGCCTCCGCATCGACGGCCTCCTCTCTTCTCCACCTGCTTCATCCACTTCCTCCCCAGCTCATCGCTCCTCCTCCGCCGGGTCCGCGTTCGCCGAAGCCGCTGTGCCAACGCAGCCCTTCGTCATCGGTACATGCTTCCTAACTACGCTACAGTTCTTCTGTTTTCTTTGAATTCAGCTCTGCCGATTTCCGAATTGGCAAATGGCAAGTGTTTCTGCGAATTTTCCCCCTTTCTCTTGAGAGAAGAAAATCCTGTTTGTAATTTCTGTCCCTGATTGAATGCTGGTTGATCTTGAACTTTTTGCTGGTGATTTTAAGTGAAGGAGCTGATTTTTTTTGGGGTTTTGTGGGGATGAAATGAATTTCAAATCAAATAGGAGTTTGTGGAGGTACGGCTTCAGGGAAGACGACGGTGTGTGATATGATTATTCAACAGCTACACGATCACCGTGTCGTGCTTGTGAATCAGGTATATTTTTCTACTGTGCTTGTGAATCTTGTAATTGTTTTTGATTTTGATAAAGGTAGCACATTTGCTAGGATATTACTGACAGAAGATTGAACATTGCAGGATTCGTTCTATCGTGGGTTGACGCCTGACGAATTACTACGTGTTCATGAGTATAACTTTGATCATCCAGGTGAAATGCTGTGTTTTTTTCTTTTTCTATTTTGAAGTTGTTGTGCTTTTGGGGAACATCTTAGTAGTTACGGAGGTCACATCAATGGGGAAATTTCCTGTGTTGCAGATGCTTTTGACACTGAGCAGCTTTTGGACTGCCTTGAAAAGCTTAAAAGTGGACTGCCTTATCAAGTTCCTATATACGACTTCAAGAGCCATCAACGTTGTTCCTCTAGCTTTAGACAGGTATGCAACTTGCAATTGCCTCACTTTCTTTTAACCTCTCAGTAGCTCTGCAGATTAGCATTGTGGTACTGGTAGCAGTGATTCTTTTCATTTTTGCTAACCTACTCTGAATGGCGAACGCTGCTTTATGGATCACCTTAAATAGCATCGATTTTGGGTGTTTGTCCATCCTAGAAAGGCAATGTGCTTATCTTTCACCTTTCCTGGGTTCTTAAACATGTTTTGATGAAAACTCTTGACTTCCTTAGGTGAATGCTTCTGATGTGATTATTCTAGAGGGTATCTTGGTGTTCCATGATCAACGTGTCCGCAACCTCATGAATATGAAGATCTTTGTTGATACAGGTTTGACTCCTAGTGCACCTCGTCACATATATAACCTTAATGATGTATTTGCATTATAATTATTCTTGGCAATGAATTTCTTGTAGATGCTGATGTGAGACTTGCTCGTAGAATACGCCGTGACACAGTGGAGAGGGGTAGGGATATAAACTCTGTTCTTGAGCAGGTTAGATGGGCAATGTCTAAGTAGTTTGCCTAATTCATTCCGATTATTCAAGGACTAAGCTCTCGTCAGTTATACTCATGCATTTGCATGCCTGTTCTGATGAGAGACTGAAACAGTATTCTTTCATTGTCTGCTTTGCAATTGAGGCTTGTGATCCTGTCTCATTAACTCATATGAGTTACTTTTATGGGTTTCACTGTAAAAGGCTGAAAGGTTTCTGTTGCTTGTGCAGTATGCTAAATTTGTGAAGCCTGCATTTGATGATTTTGTGCTTCCTTCCAAGAAGTATGCCGACGTGATCATACCTCGTGGAGGTGATAATCATGTTGCCATTGATTTGATAGTGCAGCATATCCAGACGAAGCTGGGTCTCCATGACCTCTGTAAAATATATCCAAATGTGTACGTCATTCAATCAACTTTTCAGGTATTTGCTCTTTCTAACCTGATTTGTATACATTTAGATAGATCTGTTTTAGAGAAATCAAACTTTTAATCTTCTGCTTGAGAGCGAAGTTCTGCTCATGGCTCCTTCCTTCTCAATTGACGTGAAAGTAATCTCATTAACTCATCTAAAACATGGAAAAGTACTCTACGAGGTTGCAAAAACTTTGTCAGGTTCTAATGTATGTTAGTTTAGAATATCATGAAAGCAGAGCTATACTTCTAGATTTTGAACATCATTAAATATGTGATAATGTGCTGTAATGAACATAGCATGCTTGGCTGTTGGGTCGTAATGACTTGTAGCTCAACTGTTGATGGCAATTATGATCATTTGTCTCCTACTTCCTTGCAGATTAGAGGCATGCATACATTGATTCGAGACCGAGAAATATCAAAGCATGATTTTGTTTTTTATTCAGATCGACTTATTCGGCTGGTACTTTTCATGGCCCACCTATTGTCATATGGTCCACTTTTGATTGTGCTGTTGTTCTTTCTTATTCATCACGTACTATTTTAAATATTGCGTTTGCTCTCAGGTTGTGGAGCATGGCCTTGGTCATTTACCATTCACAGAGAAGCAAGTTGTTACCCCAACTGGTGAGTGGCAGATTGAACTATACACTTATCTTTGACTAGACTTTTCTTCAGTTTCTATTTCATCCATCTTTAGTTTTGGATAGTCACCCCTTCTCCTTACTTTCAACTTCTAACAAGGCATTGAGAGGGCTTGTGCTCGTTGCATATTGCTTCCTTCAAGTTGTTTATGTTGATGCATTCACATAGCTGTACCTAAGCTTCTATCCTTGCCTGTTTCTTTTTGCAACTAAGGTTTGTTACAGACTTCAGAAACAAAACATTTTGTGTTTCATTACAGGGTCAGTTTACACTGGGGTCGACTTCTGCAAAAAATTATGTGGAGTCTCTATTATTCGAAGGTGAGCTTAAGTATACGGTTTTGATTTTGGCAGTTCTAATCATCTTGCTGTTATATCTATCAGGCATCTCTTAAGATGTTAAGCTGATGCAGTGAATATCAATTTTATTCATTAGGTACCAATGCCTAATCATTGCTAATAATTATAATTTCAGCGGAGAAAGCATGGAGAATGCATTGCGTGCGTGTTGCAAAGGAATTAAAATTGGAAAAATTCTAATTCACCGGGACGGAGACAATGGAAAGCAGCTTATATATGAGAAGCTTCCCAAGGACATTTCTGAAAGACATGTGCTGCTTCTGGACCCTGTTCTTGCTACTGGTAAGTCATTCACTGATTCTGGAATCTGGATGCTGAGACTTTGGAATTTATCTTTCCTGATCACACCAATTGAGATGCAAGCTAGATACTGGCTCTGTTTGGAATTGGCTAGCTGCATATGGAAACTATATGGGGGAGAGATAAAGGTTCATTCCATTACCAACTGCGGCTGTTTGTTCTTTATAGGTAACTCAGCAAACCAAGCAATAGATCTACTCATACAGAAAGGAGTTCCAGAATCCCACATCATATTCTTGAATCTAATCTCTGTAAGTAAAATCATGCTTTTTCTTCCCTCAGTTTGTCATGTTCAAACAATTTAGTTCTTGATGCATCATCCTCTATTACACATTCAGGCTCCTGAAGGCATCCATTGCGTCTGCAAAAGGTTCCCATCTCTCAAGATAGTGACTTCTGAAATCGACATTGCCATAAACGATGAGTTCCGAGTCATACCCGGGCTGGGGGAGTTTGGTGATCGTTACTTTGGGACGGACGACTAAACGACTAACCAATCAACCGCCTGGTTTCTGCCTCCGCTACTATGCCTTCACGTCAGAATAACACACCGGGAAAGACAGCGAAAGCACACAGGCATTAGAAGGTTTCATTGTGCAAATGTAAGAGTAGAAAATGATTGTTCACTCTCGCTCTCAGTCAGTAGTACTCAATATTGGGCAGTTGCTTCCGTTGTTACGTAGGCTGCAAGATACATAGAACCTACAATTGGCAGGTCACACATTTGCCCAGGGTAGGAATTACCAGATAATCCAAAACATTATAAAACCGACAAAATAGTCCAAAGACAGCATCCATGTTTCTAACCGAAGCTAACAACATAAAACTAGTGTACGTAAAATATGATTTCACTTCATCCGAACAACGGCAGCTCCATTGGAACGTAGGTTGCAAGCTGCTGTACAGGATACCGAGAATTCGAAGCTTCAATTGGCAGAGCATACATTTGCCCCGTGGTAGGATCCAAGACATGCAGTTCCGCCGGAGCATGAGCACCCCAAAGAATCACTTCCCCTTCTCTCGACAGTCCTATGGGCCTCATTAGCATTGAACTCCATGAAGTAGTGGGAATGGTAAACAACTTGGACCAAGATTCTCCAACATTATTCAACAGTACCCATATGTCAAATGAAATCGAGTAGCCATGCACGTGGAAGATGGCAAGCGTCTCCTCCTTCAACATGAAAACGCGGGGCTCGTCAGCATTTTTAGGAAGCCGATGCTCATCACAGCAGCGAGGCGTGGCTAGGGTTTTCACCTCCAGCGCCTCACGGGTCATGTCGAACGAAATCACTCTAAGATACGTTGTCCTCCATCCTGCCCAGAAACACTTGCCTTTTCTCCCACCCAGCCTCACCGCAGGACAGTACTGCGGGATCTCCTCCTGCGAAACCGATGAACCTAGGGGCAAACTGTGGCCAACACCACGATCATGCTCAACTTTCCGCCACGAGTCTGTCACGCTAGTGCTGCTCCATACATGAATGGAGGACGTTCTGTTCCCCGCGTGGCCAGAGAGCTTACGAACCCTAACCACTTTGTACTCGCCGGTCGCCCGGTCGAACCCGAAACCGTACGCTATCCAATACGTGTTGTACTCAGGGAAGGGGAACTCGTCGTCGTTTACTTTGGGCAGCAGCAGTTTCATCTCGGATGTGGCCGGATCGAACAAACCGATACGGTTCCTGTGGAAGCCCGTGTAGCGGACGCAAATCAAGCCGCCACACGCGCCCATAACGATCGGCGGCTTGTGATAATACGACCTAAACACGCTAGGGTTAGCAGCTACTGTTGGCAGTGGCAGATCGCGAAAGGGGGTTTCGACTTCGATTCTTGAAGAATCGCAAGAGAGGGAACAATAACGAAGATTACTATCCCTCGAAATTATTGGGATCCGAGACATGATGTCATCGGGGACGCGACGGTAGTCGTTGTGGATGAAGAAGAGGTGTCGGTAGATGAAGTTAGGGTTTGAGAGGAGACGGTACCATGACTTGGAGACGCACAGGAAGCGGCGGAGGCAGGATGACGGAAGTCTCACCAGGATTCCGTCCATCAGGTCCTCCGGGAAGTGATCATCATCACGACTCGCTGTTGCGCGTTTAAACTCCGTCATCGTACGTGGTGATCGATCGATCGGCGCCTCGATCGCTGGAGAAACTAAACCCTAGCTTAGCTTTAAATTTAGTTGGTTTTCCTTCTTCCGCTGAAACCCTAGTTAGCTAACGCACACGCCCTCGCCCAGCCCTTAGACCTCGACTAGGGCGGTTAATGAGTCGAGGTATTCGTGAGCGGCTCGGTCTCGAACTCGATAAAAGCTCGTTCGATTAAAAAAAGGCTCGATTAGCCGAGCTTGAGCTCTACCTTGTTCGGCTCGTGAAGCTCGTGAACTAGCTCGATTAGGTGGCTCGTTTAATACAACTCATGAACTGTCTCGTTTTGAGCTTATGAGATGTCCCAACATTGTGACTAGAGAGCTAACTCGACTACAGTTTATGAGAAAATCAATCTATATTTATAAGTTGGTTTGTTAATGATGCATATAATTATTAAATTGTATATATCACCTCCTATGGTGTTTAATACATTGAGTATATGTAAGCAAATACGTCTCATATATGACATACCATTAGGTAATCACTTGTATCACATATGACATATAAATATTAGGGTATTTATATTATAAATTATCTTAGATTTGAGCTCGAACCGAACTTTCGATCTTAATGATGTGTCAAGATTTAATAAATGAGCTTACTTGTAACTCGGCTCGTTAATATTATATGGGAAATTTTGTTGGGACACTTTTGCAAGGGATATTGTCACTTTAGTCCTTGAACATCCAGTGAGTCAATTTAACTCCTCTAAACACGAAAGTTTATGTTTGATAGGACAATTTGGAATTGGGCGGTTAAAATAAAATTTCATTGTATTATTTAAAAAAAATATTTTGCATCACATCTTATTTCTGGAACAAATTCCTCCAAAATGGATTAATGTACGGTCCGGTAAAAAAATTCCACGAGTTTATTATTGTGGACAGTCTGAGGTTTAAGATAGTGACAACAATCAAATCAAATTATAAGATGGCTATGTATAATTTTAGAATTCTTATTTTGTGTAGGCATGGCTGAATGGTAGGGTTCACTGTTCCGACCACAGGGTATGGTTGTGTGAAAACGATAAGTTGAGATATTCTTTCGCGCTTTTCACACGCCCAAAGGCGGACAACACTATCAAAGCGCCGGAAGAGTTGATTGACGAACAACACCCCTTGTTGTTCAAGCCCTTCACCTACAAGCAGCTTCTTGCCTCGACTTTTAGCCAAGCTAGTCTGAAAGATGCTTCTCCATTGTTGAATTCATTCTCCAATGTACAAACTCAAAAGGGAGACTTGAGTTGATAGTTGATAAACGTTTAGGACTAACAAGTGACCCCTGATCGTATTGATGAAATAAAGTCTCTTATTCATGAACTGTAATTGGAAAATGTGACTGTAATTGGGACGGGAGGAGAATGGTTAGGAAATGAAACTGCTCGCTCATATCTTGTTCACATGAACTATAATTGGGATGGGAGGAGAATGGTTAGGAAAACCTCCAATTTTTAGTGAAGTTTTTTTTTTTTTTTTTTTTTTTTCCAAAGGTATCACATAATGGGAAAACAGCAAGATACGAAATTTTTAGTGAAGTACTGGCTGTAACTTTACAAACACCAGTACCAAATACCTAGTAAAATATTTCAGGAACTTAAATAAGAAAATGTGGTTAATAAAATAACTTTCATCATTGTGTTACCAAATTATTGAACTCCTCAATTTTAATCTGGTTTTCAATTCTTTGATATGTATCGGCGACCAAGATTTTTTTATATATTAATTATTAAGTACTAAATATAATTGGTCAAGATTTGGCTATAAATTTTGTAGTTTACTAGACTGTTTATTTATCACCAACAAAGCTATTAGAATACTAAACTTGCCGCAACATTTTTTGGCAGCAATGGCCACAAAAAATATATGTTTTTTTATTTATTAATTTCTCGACCAACAACTCCTCATTTTTCTCGGCATTGAGGCCAAAACGACGTCGTCCAAGAGAGGAAAAACAAACGGCATCGTTGTCCCACTCTTCCATCGTTGCTCGAATCAACTCGACTATAATTGGCCATTCTTCTCATTTGTTAAACAACGTTGTTTTCCTCTTCAAACAACCATGTTTTGTTTCTCCCACATTGGGCCGGGAAACTTCATCGAGAAAGTAACAATAAAAACGGCACTGTTGCACCCATTTTATCTCGCCACCAGGTCCCAGCGAATCTGTTTGATTTTATTGGTCCACCAAGAACTCACCATTTTAGCTCGGAGAAGAAACATGATTTGGTATTACACTACACCGGTTGGGACTAAGTTGACCCTACTGCTGGCCTTAAAGGAATTAAATGTTTTCTATTATGATTTTTATTTATTATCCGCCATTAGGGGTGGCTATACGGTCCGGTCCGGTTAAATTGGCCCAAATTGATTCGGTCCAGTCCGGTTTTTTTGAAAATATAAGGACCGAAGATTGGATTGGATACAGTCCGGTCTTGATCCGGTCCGGTTTTGATCCGGTCCGGTCCCAATTCGATCTTGATTTTACATTGAGATTGTGGGATTTGAGTGGCCTAAGGCCTTAAAGGGTGAGGAGTTGGTTAAGTTTTGTACTAAGTGCAAAGGTTTGTGACTGTTTATGCAAATTACCCTTAAGTTTTGGGTGTTGAGCTCTCTTATCCGGTCTTTATCCGGTTTTTTACCTCAAATCTAAGCCCAAAGATTGGATTGGATTGTTTACTATCCGGTTCCGATCCAGTCTCGGTCCGGGTTATACGGTCCGGTTTCCGGTTTTTAATCCGGTCCAGGTCCAAATAGCCACCCCTATCCGCCATAGTTGGCTAAGAGGCATACTCGTTGCAGGCTTAGCCAAACTCGTATTACTCAACCCCGTTGTGCAAACTTGGTGGCCGACGAGGCCACATCCTTTTAACACATGGTTAATCGTCATTGCTCAGACTAATGACCAGTTGCGTCCGCCGTCCCATAGGGACGCCAGATATGATTTTAAATATTTGGCATTTATCAAACGCTCATGCATCACTCCATCCATTGTCTAGACACTTAAGTTAGTATTTTTCAATGTATCCAACTAAGCATTCATTAGCAAACTAGTCACCAATTCGACTTCAGAGTTAGTTTTTAATATAGTTCAAAGCTTAAATGCTTTTTCTACACTTGCAGACAGTTGGGACATGCAGAATCGATTTGAGCTGAGGAGAGTGATACCAATTGATTCGGTATTTCAATATGGGATTTTATTGATAGTATGATAAATTACTTTTATGTTAGCTTATAAATAAAAATTGATTTGCAGTGTAACTGTAGAATATTCTTATATTACATAGATGTGATGAGTTCGATACTTAATATGGACCTATGGGGTTGTCTTTGTTACCCCAAAAATACTTGTGTCCGGTGACAATGCCCATACCCCTCCCTCCACCTAGCTAGGAAAGAGATGACAAATGGATTAATTGATGAATTTTATTGGATTAAATGAATTTTTGAATTTATAAATCAAAGTGGTATCAGAATTTTGGACCATTTTGAAATTTTTGAAAAGTTCAGGTATTTTATAAAATATTAGGTGGCAAATTTTTTATTATTTTTAATGAAGATGATATCATTTCATTAAATAAACGATGACAAAGAATAAAGAGTACTAGATTCCACGGCCAAATGAAACAAAATCCAAAAGCCCAGGAGAAAAGGAAACTTGGTAAGCACCAGCATGTCGATTTACAGATTAAAGGTCAAACTTTGCAAAACATAATTTTTGAAGAATATTTTCATTAAAAATGTTAATTTAATTATAAAACTATCAAGTACTAAATTAATAGTTGAATTATTCAGTAGATTGCATTCAGATTTGTCATATTTAGACTTTTACTATATACCCCAGGAAATGAGAAGATTCCTAGTAACTGAAAAATGAGAGGTTTCTTTTGACTTTCCATATATAACCCACTGTAAGTTTATCTCTCAATTCAGTCACAAGTACTCTATCATATATAGCTACACAATGTAAAGAATGACTAATTAATTTCCCCTACGTACGATCTTCTTTGTTTACTATTTCTATATATTGCCTCTTTGGGCATATATTGAGCCATATAGGCATATACAGGAGGAAGGAGCAATCAAATGCTGTTTAATTTATCATTTCATTAAATATTATTATAAAATATTAGGTGACAAAACATTTTTTTTATGAAGATAATATCATTTAATTAAATAAACCAAGGCAAAGAATAAAGAGTACAAGATTCCATGCCAAATGAGACAAAATCCAAATGCACAGGAGAAAAGGAAACTTAAGACAGATAACAGTAGCTAGCATGTAAGCACCAGCACTGTCTATTGACAGATTTAAGGTCAAACTTTCGAAAACATAATTTTGAAGAATGCTTTCATTAAAAACTTAAATTTGATAATTAACTTATAAAATTATAAGTAATAAATTAAATTGGATAATTAAGTTGAATTTTTAGTGGATTGCTTTTAGATTCGTCACATTTAGACTTTTACTATATAACTCAAAAAACGAGAGGATTCCTAGCAACTAAAAAATGAGAGGTTATTTTATTTTATTTTTACTTTTCATATATAACCCAAAACTAATCACAGGGAGGGCGTGAGAACAATATTAAGCTTTCCAAAAAGGATATTTCTTAATTGTTTATTTGGAGTATCCTAAATGAGAGAAATACACGTGGATGATTTCAATATTATTTAGAAAAACATGTAAAATTTGCAACAATGTTTGAAAATAGAATAATATGCGGGCCGTTGAGTTAATCACTACAAGAAAAATGACATTTAGCGGCTAAGTGTATTTGCCACAATAGGCCATTTATGTGCCTCTATAGCCCTATAGCGGCACATAAATGTGTGTTGTCAATACTGCTGCCGCTAAATCTCTTTAGCAACAGATGTTAGCGACAAATATTATATGCTACTAATGTAGGAATTTGCGTCAGAAAGTTTTGTTGCTAATTTGACTTTTGAATAACTATTTAATTATCTTTTTCTCACTTTAATGGCACAAATTATTGCCACTAACGTTACATTAGCGACAAATATTTATGCTCCCGTAATTCATTTTGGAGACAATTGCATTTGCCTTTAAATGATTTAATTGGAAAATTTATGTGCCTCTAATGAGTATTTCCGTCTTTAATTTTGCTATTTTTTGAATAGTTGATTTTAATGAATATATTATTTTGCATCAGATATAGACCGGTTTTTTTATTTTTGGACTTGATATCGACGACAACTTGTCAATGGGGCTAAGATCAGGTGACTAAGGGGGGGTCCCTTAGTCACATGACTAAGCCAATCTCAGCCATTGAACCTCATTAAAATCTAATGGTTCAGATTTATCTAGTTTAATAAGGGATAAAGTGGTAATTACATTATTTAATTATTTAACAATTAAAATAAATAAAAATTACAGCATGTCCCTTCATCCTCCCGCCGCGGGTTCTTGGCTGTGGAATTCTCTGCCGGCGGCGGAGGGGGATTTTTTCCGGCGTAGCTTCTCCCCACTTTAAATACGAGAGAGGGAGCTTTGAATTGCAATCTTGGGGATCGGTTAGCTTGATTACCCCTAAAGGGGTAGTGATTTTTGACACCCCCTTTATGATTGGCCAATTTTATTTCCAATCATTGGCAAGTATTAATTAAACTGGTTTTTTATTTTTTTTTTAATCTTGTAATTTGGGGTCTCTCACCACATTGGAAAAGAGAAAGAATCTGGGGAAAAACGAAATCACCCCCATTAATTACATAATTAATTTCTCTCACTTGTACATTAATTACACGTACCACTCTACTGGTACACGTACCACTCCACTGGTACACGTACCACTCCACTGGTACACGTACCAGTGGAGTGGTACGTGTACCAGTGGAGTGGTATTTGTATCATTGAAGTGGTACTGCATTGTTGCTCCGTTATTGTTTATCATTGTTATGAAAAATATCATTGCACTGGTATTGTTCTCACTCTAACCTACCTTGTGGATTGCTCGCACCAGTGGAGTGGTACGTGTACCAGTGGAGTGGTACGTGTACCAGTGGAGTGGTACGTGTAATTAATGTACCAGTGAGAGAAATTAATTATGTAATTAATGGGGGTGATTTCGTTTTTCCCCAGATTCTTTCTCTTTTCCAATGTGGTGAGAGACCCCAAATTACAAGATTAAAAAAAATAAAAAACCAGTTTAATTAATACTTGCCAATGATTGAAAATAAAATTGGCAAATCATAAAGGGGGTGTCAAAAATCACTACCCCTTTAGGGGTTAGCATAGTATCCTACCCCGCAATCTTGCAATTAACTACGAGAGAGAGAGAGAATTTTTATTCCTTTGCTGTTTCCCCCAAATGCAGAGAGAGAGAGAGATTTTCTGGTCGGAAATTTTTTTTTCCAGCGACCATCATCAACGGAGAAGAATTTTCCGGCGACAGTGCTTTGTGCTGTATGTTGACATATTTTGTAATGTTTGTACGCTTTGTTATTTTGTAATGTTTGTAAACTTTGTTATTTTTGTGCACCATGTTTATCATTTTTGTCAACCGTGTTTGTAATGTTTTTTATGTCTAAAAAACAACCTGGTTGACTTTTGGATGAAACTTCTCTATATAGGGATGGAGCCTCCAAAGTCAACCCGGGTGTTTTTTAAGTTCGTATGGATTGTCGGTCTAGTTTGTCATTTTTGTCCACCATATTCGTACTGTTTGTATACCTAAAAAACACCCGGGTTGACTTTAGGAAGGAGCCCCTCTATATAGGGATGGAGCCTCCAAAGTCAACCTGGTTGTTTTTTCTTTTTGTATGGTTTGTATTGTTTGTCGGTCTATTTTGTATTTTTTGTACAGTTCATATGTTTGTAATGTTTGTAAATCTGTTTGTATGTTTTGTCGCTCTAGTTTGTATTGTTCATCTAGAGACAAATGTATTTGTTGCCCATCAACTATACTTTTTGCGCCACTTAAAATTGTCATTTTAGCTCATTTAAAATGAAGGAGCAACAACAACTATTTTTTTAGCCTCTAAAAACTTTTATTTAGAAGTAAATGACTATCTGCCTGCAAAAAACTATGATAATTAATTATAAAAATTATATTTATTTTTTCATGATATAAAGGCAGACTTTTAGCTAACCGTTATAGAAAATGTGTCCCTAAAACTAATATTTTAATTTGAATAAAATTTAATATAAATAATAATACTTTTAACGGCAAATACTAATACTTATAGAGGCATATAATATATTAGCCGTGTATAACATAACTTTAGGGGCAAATATTTTATGTGCTGCGAAGTTTAGCCGCTAAAATCTAGTTTTCTTGTAGTGAATCGATCCATACACTGAATATCACTGATACAAGAGGATGCATGGATGGACATTTGGACGGAAGCATACGCATGCACCAACAGCTACAGCAATGCAAACCCCAAAAATAGCAGTACTGGAAATTAACAAGACTAATTATATGCTTAGCGACACCACCGACCATCTCGTAGCTTTTAATAATAATTTATGAGCTCAATAATTGAGCTGAAAATTTCTAAATCGATCTACTTTTTTTTTTTTGAGAGATCTACATTTGTTTAATTTTGACTATTTTTATGTCTTAATAGTAATACCCATGTAGCTATAAATACACAAGCCAGGGAAGCAGCTGGAGGAACTACCCAAGACAGCAAGCATCTTCTTTCTAATTTAATTTCTTGATACAATCATCATATCATATAGTATGGGTTCTATCATTGTAGCGCCTAGTGATCTAAAGGTTCCCTTCATCAACCTCTCAAAGCAGCCTCATCTGAAACCAGGTACTCCCCATTGGGATTCCTTGAAATCCCAAGTTCGAGAAGCATTCGAAAACTATGGCTGCTTCGAAGCTTCCTTCGACAAGGCATCTAGGGAGCTTCGAAGCGATGTTTTCGATTCAGTGGAGGAGCTTTTCGATCTGCCTTTGCCAACCAAACAAAGAGCTGTCGTTCCCGATACATTTCACAAAGGTTACATGGGGCAGCATCCTATATATCCATTCTATGAGAGCTTTGGGCTAGACGATCCCACCTTGCTTGAATCGGTCCAGAACTTCTCCAACACATTGTGGTCCGAAGGAGGAAATCCCAGTTTCAGGTAATCATGTTATTACATGCACTAATATAATTTGTAAGTTGTTATCTATATGATGAACTCGATCATGTCGATGACCAATAAACATTCATATATTGTTATTCCTATGCTTTGCAGCAAAAACATTCACTCCTTGTCGGAGATGGTCTCTGAATTGGATCAAACGGTGAGGAGAATGATACTGGAGAGCTATGGTCTCGAAAAATATATAGAGGAGCACATGAGTTTCACAAGTTACCATTTGAGGGTCATGAAATACGAAGTAGCTGATGACTCCAAAGCAACCCTTGATCCAAAACTTGTGCTTAGAGTACACACTGATAAAGGCTTGATCACCTTACTGTGCCAGAATGAGGTAGGGGGACTGGAGTTTCAAACCAAGGAAGGTGAGTGGGTTAGTTACCAGCCGACCTCTCCTAGCTCTTTCATCGTCTTGGCTGGTGATGCTCTTCATGTAAGTCGATCGCTCGCTTCCTTGATCTCATGACTAATTAAGTCGTCGTCAGTTCTAGTCAAAATTATGATCTTTGATCTGTATGTTGACTTCTTTTTTCTGACGGCAGGCATGGCTGAACGGTAGGGTTCACTATCCCTATCATAGAGTAAGGCTGTGTGGAAACGATAAGCCGAGGTACTCGTTTGGCCTCTTCACAACCCCAAAGGCAGAGAACATTGTGAAAGCCCCAGAAGAACTGATCGACGAACAACACCCCTTACTGTTCAAGCCCTTTGTTTATAAGCAGTATCTTGACGTGGCTTACACCCAAGCTGGTCGTAAAGAGAATGCTCCTTTACGTGCATTTTATGGCCTCTGAAAATATATTAATTGTTGCAAGTAAAGCAGCTAGCTTGGCTTCAACTGCCATGCATATCCACAAAACCTGTTCGGGTCAAGATGTAATAAGATGGCCGGTGTGTTACCAAATGTCGTCTTTGTAATCATGATCATTATGTCTATCTATAATTCCCAAGGGTACGTAATTGGATGCAATGAAATGCAGAATGAAATTAATTACACTGCCAAAAAACAGAATTTGGGCTACGAAAATAAAGGACGGACACATGCCCTTAGTGCAAATTAAAGGACTGATTATGATCCAAATTTCTACGCTGTATCGATAAGATTGTATTCATGTAACTGCATGCGTACTACATATCAAGTTAATATAACTCAGTACTCTATCATACCTAACCTACCTAATGTAAAGAATGACTAATTAATTTCCCCTACGTACGTATATAGATTGCCTCTTCGGGCATATATTCAGCCAAATACAGGAGGACGGAGCAATCAAATGCTGTTTATATCAAAATTATATTATTCATGCAATGCAAGTTGGTTCCAAATCCATTCATATATGCAAACCCCAAAACAAGAAATAATGCATCTGATCAGCCGGCAAAAGGAATCATAATAAGCTCTTATATATATACTATAAAATTGGCCCGCACGCTGCGGCGGGATTATTAGGTTTAGAATGATTGTATTGTAGTCGGCAATTGAATACATCATGCTTTAGTTTTCTTGCCAATCAATTGAGACAGGTCTATTTGATTCCCACTCAATTGTATCAATCTTTTCACAGCTCAACGTTGCACATGTCCCTTTTTGTTTCAATGGAGGATAGCCAAAACCAAAACTGAGAATCACCAATTATTCATGCATGAATCATTCAAAATTGCAATAGCAGACACCCAAATGGAGTAATCAAATTGTGCAGAAGCAATTTCTACTACTTTTTAGCAAGAGGACATGAACAGACTCACAATAAAGAAACACCATTAGAAGAACAGTGCTAATTAAAACTATCCTCAGGCAAACAAATGTTTGAATATAAACATGGAGCTTTTTATTTGAAATTTGAGAGGGTCAATAAAGACATCGCTCAAGTGGAACATTATACAGAACTGGATCCTATGAAAACGAAGAGTATATGATAATTGTGGAAAAGCTATGGTCATTAATTAGACTATCAGTCTCAACTGACATTGTGTCTGTAAAACAAAAAGCTAGCCTAGCATACAATCCAAAGAAAATCAAGATGGACTTCTGAAACCAATACAAAAAATGAAGTAATGGATAACAGGGGTAAAGTGGAAGGAAAACTCCATTTTAAAGCTAACAATAAAATTGAAAGTACCTCCAACTGGTGCATAAATCCGTAGCCTGCTTAATAAATAATAACCCCTTAACTTCACCTACAATCCTCTATGATGCATTCACCCGACCACCCATAAGTTGAGATCTTCCTTCCTCCCCTATACCCTTTCTTCTTCAACACAGTTTCTCTCGCAGACTTGAGGAGGGATTCAAGCGATTACACTCAATTGTCATAGGAATTTCTTTTCGACGAAGATGACATGCTTAGTGTTCTATTTTCGAAGTAGGACAAACAACCCAAAATAAGAGCACAATTTGAAGGCTATAAGGATCATGCCAATTAAGGGTTCTGATTCAGCAATATGCTTCTGCTTTGGTCATTGCAAACGGAAATTCAGCAACCCACATGCATATTCACCCTTTTCTAGAATCAAGGGACTAAATCAGTATAACATGAGTAGATCGATAAGAGAAATCACAAACCAGGAGCTCCATATATATGGTTCAATGCTAAAACGAAGAGTCAAACGTTCCTTACCAACCATTACCAGATGGACTCAAGCTAACTGCAACAAAATGAGAAGCAATAGGGATTAAATAGAATACTTCAGCTAAGAGATTTTACCGTTTACGATGCACTGAAATGAATAACAAACAACAAAGTAACCTTATGTATCTCAATATGGGATTCTCCCTGGTGAAAAGGATAAATCGGGTCTCCACATGCCTCAATTTGTTGGTTGAACTCTTCGAATCTACTCTTCGATTCCCTTTTCTCTTCCCTACTCGCCCCTGATGACCCATCCTTCTCCAGCCGCCAATCCGTGACCCAAATCGGCCAAGGGCTAGTTGATCGAAGGGAAAAAGAGAAGAAATCGAGCTTCCTTTGACGATGCTGATTCGCCGGCTATCCATTGTAATCGAATCGACGGCGCTCACCTATCCATCAATGACCCAGCTTCGCCAGCCACCAGGGGAACGACGGAGCTTCGGCCCCGCTTGGCGTTTCGATTCTCTGGCTTTTCATGGCTAGCAGATCGGCCAGCCGCCAGAGTATCGGTACGGGTCCTAGGGAAAATCGGAGATGGAAGTAGAAGATACATGCAGAACCGCCAGCGGGTCATCGGAGGGAAAGGTCGGGAAATTTTTGGGACAATAGACACCTAGACTAAAAAGGAATATACAGGGGCTTACGGTGAAGCTTACCGCATCCCACTGGACCCCTAATGCAAAACATGCACTATTTATTATCTTTTATATATATATATATGAAGGCAGGCTCCCAGCTGTTCAAAGCTTCCATTCATAGATTTCTCAAAGCCTAGCTCGGGTTGGGACGATTCCCTGAAACCTCGAGTTTGAGGAGCACTCGAAGAGTACGGCTGCTTCGAGGCGGCGTAGACATTCAACGAAGCGATTCATGATGGTGAGATCCGAAGTGATGTTTTTGGTTCGGCGTGAGCACAACACATTATTTATGCTGGTTTTAACAAAATATTTGAGAAAAGTTATAACACCAAATGAATGTACATATATATAATTTTTCTTAAAATCATTTATATGTAATCTACATCTATAATTAAATAAAATATCACATTACAAACAGCAAATCATCAATACAAACCTAGATGATCCCGATTTGAATGGTTTGGTCGACGCCTTCGCCAGGAAAACCCGAGCTTCGGGTGATGTATACATAACATAACACATATTGGAGATTTAGGTTTACCAAGTAATGAGAGGAGGGAAAAGTTAGACAAAATTAGTTTTACCAGGTTTAGTTTTAGTTTGCGTACGTCCGGTTTAAATTGGAGCCTGGAAGAACACTTTTTGCGACCATTAGTTTGGTCATGAAATACTGTATTTTTGTACACTTGCTAGGATTATTCTTTGCAATGATTTTTGGCGACCATTTGTTTAATTTGGTCACTAAACCTATTTTCTTATGGTTTATTATTAGAGGTGGCAGTTGGATCGGATTCGTAGATTTGTGGATCCATGAATCAAATGGATTGGACCAAAATGACATCCAAGGCTTGGACCAAAATGTAAAATTTGAAAAGTTTAGGTACTAAAATGTCATAATGAAAAATTTTAGGTACCAAAATATAATTTTCCAATGATATTTTTCGTATAAAAATATAAATTTTAGGTACCAAAATGTAAAATATAAAAAATATAGGTGCCAAATCGTAATTTGCCATTTGGATCCATGGATTGATCCATGAATCCACCAATCCAATTGGATTTGGATCAAATGGATTGGATTAGGTGGATAATTTGGTGGATGGATTGGATTGGATTCATGGATTTGGATCATAATTGCCACCTCTATTTATTATACACGACTCCAATGTCATGTTTTGCATGCATTAAAGTTATGGGAAACCCCCTAAACTAAACTAATGGTTTGAGGTAGGAGGAAAGATAATGTTGCCAGGAGAACATAGATCATATGTTCTTTCAGTGTGCAGTACTCGTTTAATGTTTTGAAAGGTTGCTTGCAGATGTTTCAGCAGTTCAACGGCTAGAAAGAGACGGCCACAGTTGGGAGGTTGGTCTGGAACATGGCCATTAGCTAGGCATTATTAGTATGATATGGCGTGAACTGAACGATGTGCAAGAGTTCATGGAGGGCAAGTTAATCTATGTAGTGAAGTAGTGAGATTGGTTAGAAGGTCTATATAGAACTAACCAGATCAGGCAATCTTGGTTTACATGTGGATTGTAGTAGTGTTCATGTAATTAGAGGCTAGTTCATGGCATGGTTCATGAAACCGTACCGGAGACCGTATCGGGAAAGTCAACGGTAAGGTACTTTATGATAAAACCGTGGTTTAATCGTAGTTCAACCGTTATATATACCGGTAAATACCGCCTACCGGTTTAGCCTCCGATACTAGTATTTCGTGGTTGAACCTCCGATACGGTATGGTTTCATGGACAATGGTTCATGGTTGTTTGTGAGTAGTACGTGTAGACTTCTGCAGAAAACACTGCAGAATTGTTTAGTGCGTGCTGTAACTTATCAGATGTTGTTCTCTGTTTTGAGAACACATTGAGCTGAATATAAAGTTTTTACATTGCCCATAAATAAATAAATAAATAAATAAATAAGATAATGTTCTACTTTTCTAGAAACCAAACTTAATCAAATTAATTATTTGGAAATAGAATATTTATTTCAGTTGGACCAAATTAAGGCTGCAGATAACTTAGAATATTCCATAACCACCACCATGCATCCACACCACACTGTTGCTGATCCACCACAAGACAATCAGAGCCAGGATTAAATTAAGTAGTACTGTATATGTCGACATGTCTGTTAAGACATCCAAACCGGCAGTAACAAAAACACAGGCAGGCAGTTTTAGGCACAACCTAGCAACAAGCTTAGCTACTTAATTGTCATCATTATGGGCTCTAATAGTAACATTGAAAAGCACCTAGAAAAGCTTCCATTCATAGATTTCTCGAGGCCGCACGATTGGGATTCTCCTGAGTCCTGAGACTCCAAGTTCGAGGCACTTGCTAGACGGCTGCTTTCGAGGAGTCCTACTTGAACCCTTGTGATGCAGATGGGATTGAGGTGGAGGATGTGTTCAGATCTGTTGAAGAGCTTTGCGAGCTGCCCTTGACCACAAAACAGCCAAGGTTCATGATGCTAGTTAAGGCATTTGGGCTTAAATTACGGTTTAACCATGAATTTAGTATAAAATATTATACTGCTAACTTTTCCAGTACAACTTTAGTTACGATTTTACAACACTTAATATTTAATGAAAAAGTGGAGGGTTCATGAAGCTAGTAAAACAATCAATATAAGTTGGAAGGGGTAGAGAGCCATTAAAGCGGCTACAGCTCCTCTCAATTTTTTATCTAAGATTATAATAATATGTTATAACCTTGAAAAATTATTAGAGCGGTGGGATGAGGGCTATCAACATAATTAATAAATACGGTACATGAAAGTTATGTATAAAATACGTACGGGTATTTTACTTTGTCTTTAAGCTAATGTTACGTTTAATAGTACGTTAATAGTCATAAATATATAAAATAATTATTTTAATAAATAAATATATAAAAAATAGTGAAGTTAATCATTTAATTGATTAAATACGGATATTAAACGTGTTATACGGGTTTTATACGTGTTTGGTACGGGAGCCGTCAAATGAACGAAAACAAATGAAACAGATTGACAATAATACAGATACAGAAGTTTTAAATGGATAAAGTACGTACGGGTACATATACGTGTATTAAACGGAGTATTTACTAACTATATATCAGCCCCTCCTTCGAAATTGAGGTTTCATTATAGGAACTTGTTGCAATTTGTTATTTTCATACAACCTCTCCGCACTTTAAATTAAATCCTGAATTTGACACTTTCAGTGACCCTAAACATAAAGATTTATAGCTTTAGATATAATTTTTTTTATGGAAAGCCCTGTTAATATTAAGAATTAACTTCCAGAGTCATGGGCTTTGTCAACCGCTAACAGGCTCCTAATGGAGCTGGGTGGACTATCAGTCCAAATACAAAGCTGGTTCCAATGAGGAGCAGAGTGGGCCAAAAGGTAGGCTACAGAATTAGAATCTCTTGGCACAAAGGCCCACTCGACTCTTCTGCCAGAAAGCGACGCGTTGACCTCAGCTAAGTCCCCGATCTCTTTGCACCACATATCCAATTCAATCCGATCTTCTTCTCCCTTATCCATCATCTTCACCAAATTGAGACAGTCAGACTCCACAATCAGAGGGCTCCAGCCTCTTCGATTCGCCTCTCTCAACCCAGCAATGATCGCCTTTGCCTCCGCCTCTATCTGTCTACAATTCCCACCCTCTTTTCCTGCTACTGCTCCCAGGAATTCCCCTTCCCAGTTCCTGAAAATGGAGCTGGGTTTCGGGAAGTCCACTGAAGGGGTAGTTGGAAACTAAATTAGATTAGCAGTTAAGACATCAGCATTGAACATGAATTATTAGTTCTTAATTAATCTTTACTAGTTATAACAATTCTGAGAAATTGAGATGAAATTTCCAAATAAATTCCACAAGTATTTATTATTTTTAATAGAATGATATAATTGTCCTCTTTTATTAACTAAATTACTTATACATATGACATACCAAACACAGAAATTCATTTGACAATGAATTCTACACGACAATTTATTTTATTTCTAATATTTGAATATGGTATACCCAACACAAGATTTCATTTAGGAATGAATTCAACGCAGTAATTCATTTTACAATAAAATGAATTCTCGATTCATTTGGTACCAAACAGTTTGTAAGAGATTCTGTTGGATGATGTGCTTTGAAACAATGAGATTTTGACAACAATATCTCATTATAAAAACTAAAATTTTCATGTGTGAAATTTCACCAAATATCTTGTCTGTTTTTATTGATATGGGCTATCCATGAAAAAAAAGTAAGTATAATCTTTTACTTTGGCTTCCTCTTCTTCTTTCTCTTGATCTTAGAATTTATTGGTAAAACTATTTCAAGAAAGACATTAATAATTTTAAAATGTATCAACTACTCTTGAGCTTAGAATTTATTGTCCGTTTTCCTTTTGTCAATTTTAAAATGAATCAACTACTTTGTTTTTGATAGGCTTGATAGAGGAGCTTTGGTGGCTTGTGCCAAGTATAAAAGGTGCAAGTGCAGCTCGGGAGTTTGTTGGAGATCAGAAGTATGAACTAAGGAACTAACGTTTTAAGTAGTTATGCTCTACTTGATTTTCGGTGAATGCAACTTTGTTTTCGATTATATGCTTTAATTGAAGAATTGTAATTGGGATGTTTATGAATTCTGATTTGATAAAAGTCTGTTGAAATAATCATGAGACAAATTAAGAACAGTCCTAGAAAGAAACTCAAAACAGAGGAACATGACAAATTGACACTCACGGCACAAGCAACACCAATAAAACCAATAAATAGAGATTTTAACGATAAATTTGATGAAATCTATTTTGACTTGTTCTTTGCAAAGATATGCAAGGTAAGATTGAAGTTCCATTGTGTTCTCCATCTATTGAATTTATGTTCTTCTTAATATAATTAGGCAATGTTTGGAAGTTAGGATTCTTTAAATTGATGTATTTAATTAATGTATGTATTATAATTAGATATATTGTTTCAATGTATGAATTTGAAAAATACATTGTTTGGAGATTGAATGATTTTGGTGGTCTCATCTGTAGTTAAAATACATGTATTCTGTTTCTGTTTAAGACAAAAAAAAATGACGAATTCTTATGATTACATGTATTGGTTAAATACACCATCTGAAATCCCAACTTCCAAACGACCCCTTAGTAATACTCTCACGTTTTGACTCCCTGTAAAATAAGAAAAACTATAAATAAATGGGAGGTTTTATCTCTCATATATTTTTTCACTCTCTCTTTTTTTTTTTAATTCAAATGTGATATCCAAATTCATCATTATTTTTAGCCATGACAATAACAAAATTGATATAATTAGAATTTATTCCAATTTCATGTTTATTTTTACAAATATGATGATGTTTTTGTCAAAGTTACATCCACGCTACCTATTTAATCAACTAAACATACATCATATTCTCTATAGCCTTTCATTTCATGGAGTTTACTTTCCCTTAAAAAGAAGGAAAACATTCATAAATCACAATCAGACAAATTCAAAGTATGATTTTTTTTCAAAATATTTAGAGTATATTATTTTAATTATATGATTTATATTTCTAATGAATTTCAATACGATAGCCATGGCTATAGCTAAGAGTCTAATACTAAAGTTACTCCCAAAATCCTTAAAATCCAACTCTCTTATTCATCTACACACGTGGCCAACGTAGAAAAGGGCCCTAAACACGTGGCCAATCTTACATTGCCTCTTCCACTTCCTGTTCCTATTCTACACTTCTTATGCTCTCTCTTAATCATAAGAATCCCCTTGACCCTTGCAATTGATGGCTCGACCAGCTGTCCAGTGACCATATCTCCAATATAAGGCTATTGGACCATACCCATCTTCTCGAACTCTCTAGGCAGCTCCTCCTTTCATTCACAACCTCGTAATGGAGGAGGAGAAGACGAAAGCATGCAACGATTGCGGAAGTGGTACCGGCTTCGACAGCGATTCTCTGACTTTGCTTGGTCAGTCGCCAGGGGACTTGCCTAGCTACCAGCCGGTTTGCCTCTGGGAATCAGAGAAGAACAACAAAATGGAAAGAGGATGTTGTGAAGAGTCTGGCCTAACCACCATCCGTTCGTCATAGGGAGATTTGGGGAAAGGGGAGAAGCTTCCACCACCATTAGGTCATCGTAGGAAGCTTGGGAACTAATTTTGGCAATTTGGGGTTATGGGTAAATCGATGGCCGAGATCAATCCTAGGCTGAATCAAACGGTGTCCTGCTAGGTTGCAGGAAACTTACCGTAGATGTGTCTGCATCCCACTGGACCCCTTATATCAATTAGGCGCTATTTATATTCTAATTGTCGTCGAAGTACGTAACTTCTGACTTGTTAAGGTGATGACTAGAGGAGGGACCCAGCTACCTGCCCACTTGAAGCAATTATTATGACCACAATAATTAAGTTTGTTTATAAAAAAAAATATGAATAAGTTGGCATTAGATTTATTATCATCAAAGAAATGCAAATTAAACCCCCCAAAAAAGAAATATTCAAAGGACGTACGCTATATATTAAATACACTAGCCTGCTTAGCATGCATCATTCTCTGAAAGCATACCAACCAACTAGCTAGGTAGCACAAATGAGCTTATAGAGCAAATCGCTTCAATGGGTTCTGATGAGGAACATGAATTATCTCCAAAGCTTCCATTCATAGATTTCTCATCAGAGCAGCTGAAACCAGGCACTCCCATCTGGGATTCCTTGAAACCCCAAGTTCGAGAAGCACTTGAACACTACGGCTGCTTCGAGACATCCTTTGACGACGACAACACGGTCAATCCTGGCAAGCTTCGGCGTGATGTTTTCAGTTCATTGGAAGAGCTTTTCGATCTGCCTTTGCACATCAAACAACAGAGCGGCGTTGCTCAGCCGTTTCAACATGGTTACGCGGCGCCGAATCCTTTCTACCAGAGCTTTGGAATGGACCATCCCAATTCGCTCGACGCGGTCCAAACCTTCACCAAAACATTGTGGCCCCGTGGAGGAAACCCAAGTTTCAGGTGATCCTCATCATTATATATGTATATGGTAGTACAACAATTTTATAATTGATTGAAAAGCATAACCAAGGTAGAAATTAATTAATATACGTGTTAAATGCACAGCAACAACATTCACTCCATGGCTGGGGTGGTTTCCGAATTCGATCGCACCGTGAGGAGAATGATACTCGAGAGTTTTGGGGTTGAGAAATACATAGACGAGCATCTGAGCTCCACAACGTACCATTTTAGGGTTATGAAATACGAAGCCGTCCAACCTCATGGTGAGACAGAACTTGGGCTACGAGTTCACACGGATAAGAGTTTCATGACCGTGTTGTGCCAAAACGATGTTGGAGGGCTGGAGCTTCAAACCAAGAGAGGGGAATGGGTTAAGTTCAAACCCACTTCTCCTAGTTCTTTCGTTGTTCTCATCGGTGATGCTCTTCATGTAAGTGGATCTGCTGGAGAGTTAACTTGCTTCTCTATATGGGGTGAAATTCCAGGCATGTAATTGTGGTGCTTTTTTGTTTTACAGGTATGGCTGAATGGTAGGGTACATTGTCCCAAACACAAAGTTACTTTGCATCATTTACATGATAAGTCGAGATACTCTTTTGGACTTTTCACAATCCCGAAGCCAGACTATGTTATAAAAGCCCCAGAAGAGTTGATCGACGAGGAACACCCCTTGAGGTTCAAGCCCTTTGCTTATAAGGAGTATTTTGGTTTGGCGTACAGCAAGTCTGGGGTAAAAGACGCTTCTATACTACATGTGCCAATGTTTCCTCCACCCATTGTTACATCGAAACTCTGATTTTGACAGGAATATTGGGCGGAGGTTATATGTACATGAAATTTACCTAGATCCACCTTTGAGTATATTTGAGAAAAATACAAAGTATAACAACATTTATGCATATAGCTCATTTTAAATTGCGTTAGATCTAGTTTATTTTGCGAGAAACCAAATAAAAAATATATGCCTAGCAAGAAAGTGACCCAAAAATAAAGATCCAACTATATATATTACTAAAACAACGATATCAAACATGAATAATTAGTTCATATCTAGACCGACATCTCCTAGCTCCTTCGTCGTTTTGATCGGCGATGCTTTTCATGTAGGTCGATCAATCTGCTTTCTCTTCTGGCAAGTTAACTTGATTCTCTATATAACCGGCTGAAAGATGGTGAAAATCCAAGCAAATTAATTATGTGTGGTTCCAATAATTTGAGTTGTTGTGAGAAGTACATGTATGGTTTTAATTACTTTCTTACACACGTATCCCAAATGAAAGTCTACTTATGGGATTGAAGTTTGCATAGGCTCACCATAACATGTGCATGCTTTAAGTCAACATTTAATATTGGGGTTCGGAGGATTTGACCACGTGATCTAAAGGACAAATAAGCTCTAATACCATGTTGGGAGATGTCCATATATGGATATTAACAATTTGACCCCAATAACTCTAATTGTTGAGAGAGATCCTTGTATAGATCTTAATTGTGCTCTCGTGTATTTATGTGTTTACAGGTATGGCTGAATGGTAGAGTTCACTGTCCCAAGCACAAGGTTATGTTGTGTCAGTTACATGATAAGACAAGATACTCATTTGGATTTTTCACAATCCCGAAGCCTTGAAGCCCGAGTACATTATAAAAGCTCCAGAAGAACTGATCGACGAAAAACACCCCTTGAGGTTCAAGCCCTTTGCTTATCAAGAGTATTTTGCTTTGGCTTATAGCAAGCCTGGGGCGAAAGACGATTCTATACTACATGCACATTATGGGATTTGAAACTTAATCATAGTTTGTAATGATTGAACTTCAACTCAGCATGTCTGTCTGTCAACATATATGTAATAATATCGACGTGTGTTACCTTTACTTCGTGTGATGATTGTCCATCGCTTAGGTTCAATGAAACAACAATGATACCGATTAATTGTACCCGCCACATTATAAAATCAGCCTGAGTCAGCAAGAATTTGGTCTTGAAATGTCCCATTTAGCCTAATAACCAAGTCTCATTTCGACCCAAATCCCTAAAAAATCCCTCAAGTCAAAATTGATGATCCAAATGACCCCTTAAACTCGATCGTGAATTTTTCATTTTGCTGACATAATATGATCTCATTTAGGTATAACGAATTTCTTATACATATGCTTAATCAGCCCTGATCTCATTTGGGGTCCATTGACATATGGGGATTTGATAGGACAATTCAAATAATAAATAAAAAAAATACTAATAGGCATGAAATAAAGCATTCATCACACTCATATATATGACATAAGCCATAAGGCTTGGCCAAAATGGAAAGAGATAGCGGTAACATTCATAGTGTTAACATGTTAATCATGTTTGATCTTATATATGCTGACCAGAGATTCCCGTCCAAGTTTTTATTTGATTGGAGACCGGCCGGAGAGGCCGCGAAGCCATTGATTTGATGCTGTGCTCGTAGCTGTAGATGAGAGAAGGCTCTGGCTTCTTCTTTCAAGTCTTAGCTTTCACGGATGTTGCAAATTGCAATAGCTAAACACCGCTAAATTAGTTTAATTATCATTCATTGTTTACGTCCGATTTTGATGAAACGAATTATTATTCTTTGTTTCGTTTGTTTTTTGCCATGATTTTGATGTCTTAACTGCTCTACTAGTTTATTAATTAAGATTCTTCTGATCAAGTAATTAAACACTACTGAATAATGGACTTGACTGCACTAGCTAGCTAGATGTAAAACCCTCAACTTTTAGTTAAGCATTGATTGTAACGTACATACACCACCATTACATCGTAAAAAGTTATGTTTTCATCTTTGTACTTAGTTCTCCAAAACCAAGTTAGCACACCTTGTCATATAACGCCAATTTTTGCCTATTTAAACCAAAGAATAAACGAGAAAACACTTCTTACTTTCGCCCCACATTAATTTTGTTAATATGATGGGCTGCCAGCTTCGCTTGTGAATTTACAGGTGATAAGCAGTTAATTAATAGCTAGGTTGATACATGGATTTGTTGCAACTTGCTCGTTTTGGAAATTAATAAACATAGTCCACTGCTGTAAGTACGTAGATGATGATGATGATGATGATGAGCAGTTAAGACGTCAAAACCATGTCAAAAAGTCAATGAGATTCTGAAAAATTAATTACTACTAGAGGGCTCATTCTCCGTTGTGCAAACTCAGAAAGGGACACTTGAGTTGAACTCTTGATAAACGCTGAGAACGAACAATAATTAACCCTCGAAAGGGACACACCAAAAAAAGTTATAATAGATAAATAGTAATTAAACACTATAAATAAACAAGCCAGGGAGAGGCAGAGTTGGGAACCTTAATTAGCATCATCTTCTTTCTAATTTCTCTCTCAAGCATTAATACCATTTCATATATAGACGTGTACGTGTTTTCAATATATGGCTGGATCCATCAATGAAGCGCCTGCTAGTGATCTAAAGCTTCCATTCATAGACTTCTCATCAGAGCCTGCTGGTGATCTGAAACAAGGCACACCCAATTGGGATTCCTTGAAATCCCAAGTTCGGAAAGCACTCCAAGACTATGGCTGCTTTGAGGCTTCCTTCGACAGGGTTCCTAGTCGGCTTCGAACTGATGTTTTCGGTTCACTTGAAGATCTCTTTGATCTGCCTTTGCCTACAAAACAAGGAAGTTTTCCTCCCGAGGAATTTTTCCAAGATTACTTGGGCCGTCCTCCATTCTTTGAGAGCTTTGGGCTAAACGATCCTCATCTGCTTGACGTGGTCCAGAACTTCTCTGACAAATTATGGCCCCGAGGAGGAAACCCCAGCTTCAGGTGATCATCTATATGCATGGATTAATTACCCATCTTAATTAGTAATACTCTCGCTGCAGCACATTTAACTTCGACGTTCTAATGCTCGTGATGATCCAGTTTGAAATTTGTACCATGTGAAAAACTAATTTAGCACTTAACATTTTCAAACATTTTGATGTTTGCAGCAAAAATATTCACTCCTTTTCTAAGAAGGTGTCTGAACTGGATCAAATTGTGAGAACGATGATACTGGAAAGCTTTGGCCTTGAGAAATATGTGGATGAACACATGTGTTTCACAAATTACCATTTGAGGGTCATGAAATACGAAGTAATAGCAGCTTCTTCCGAAACTGCCCTAGATCCAAAGACTGGACTGAAAGTCCATACTGATAAAAGTATGATTAGCACGTTGTGCCAAAATGAGGTTGATGGATTGGAGCTTCAAAACAAGAGAGGTGAATGGATTAAATTCAAACCGACTTCTCATAGCTCTTTCGTCGTCTTGGTTGGTGATTCTCTTCATGTAAGTCACTTCTCTATTCGCCGAGGTTTTTTTCTATTTGGTATGACTTGTTATCTCTCTCCCTCGCACGCATGCATGCTGGTATATCCTCGATAAAGGCTAGCATACTCATAAAATATGTGATACTTGGTCGTGAATGTATTTCAATGTAATTTCACGAATTATTATTATTTTTCTCTAATTAACTTTTGAATTGGATTTAGATAATTAGACTATGAGTTTATTCATTATATATTAGAAAATGGTATCATATCCCAAACACGGATAATTCATAGTTTGTATAGCACCACCTCGGTAGGAGTAATGGTGTACCGCATACTAAAAGTACCCATATATAGTTCTATATAAGTGGTGTTTGTGATAGCGTTCCATTTATTTAATTTAACTTGACTAAAATGTCAGTTTAGTCTCTTCACTTTAATATTTTGATTGTTTTAGTTCTAAACTTCAAGAGTGTTCATCATTTCACTCCAATATGACATGAAATTTTTTTTAGACACTTTTGGAGCCGATAATTATAACTTTAGTCCTTGAACATCTTTTTTTTTTTTTTACAAATAATTCCTTGAACATCCACTGAGTCAATTATATTTAACTCCTCTAAACATGAAAATTTATGTTTCATAGGACAATCTGGAATTGGGCCGTTAAAATAAAATTCCATTGTATTATGTATTAAAATATTTTGCATCACATATTATTTCTGGAACAAATACCTTCAAAATTGATTGAAAGGTCCTGTGAAAAATTTCCACAAGTTTATTAATTTGGTCAGTGTGAGGTTTAAGATAGTGACAAATCAAATGAAATTATAACCTAGCTATATTATTTATGATTTCGTATTTTGTGTAGGCATGGCTGAATGGTAGGGTTCACTGTCCCGATCACAGGGTATGGTTGTGTGAAAACGATAAATTGAGATATTTGCTCGGCCTTTTCACACGTCCAAAAGCGGACAACACTATCAAAGCGCCAGAAGAGTTGATTGACGAACAACACCCCTTGTTGTTCAAGCCCTTTACCTACAAGCAGCTTATTGCCTCGACTTTTAGCGAAGCTGGTCTGAAAGAGGCTTCTCCATTGCGTGCATTTTATGGGCTCTGAAAACATTTGTATATTGCAACAGCTACCATGGTCCGGTAAGGGTTGGTTTGTAGGAGGCTACAGTGTTCTCCGCCTTCCTCCGCTAGGGTTTCAGCTCCGTTTCTTTGCTTCATCGGCCATGGTTCTGGAGGTGGGGTAGGTAGATGCATCCAGAAGCTCCAGCGGTTGAGAAGTATATGCAGCTAGGGTTTGAGTTGTGATCTCTTGTTTGGACTCCTTGATTTGGGTCCTATTTGGTATTCAATCGGGTTTGGGGCTTTGGGCTTGAAGTTATTTCTTATCTATGTTGTATTGCGTGTTGAGCTTTTCTTTTGGGTCTGGCCCATTTGCAATCTAACTAACCACTTTAAAAAAAAAAGTACCATGCACAAAAACTGTTTGTCTTTGTTAGGGTGATCAAGGTGTAATAAGACTAAGAGGTATGTTGTGGTACCTTTGTGTGTACTTCATAGACTGAAATTATTGACTCCTAACAACTAACCCCACAAACCTTGAGAAACAACTATAAGCCTATAACCACTAACAACTAGTCTAACCCTCTAAACTCACACCTTACGTGACCTCTATGACAGCCAAAACTCTCAATACTCATATGACTAGACCCAAATCAAATGGCTAACCCAAAATGATTAGATGACAAATGGATTGGATTCGTGAATTGATCGAGTAGATCAAAATAATTCTAAAAGATATATCAGTGGGGGAACCAACATTCGAAAGTACTTGTGTCATCTTCTCAGGTTATGAAGTTTAAATATTTATTTAATAATATAATTAAAAAATATCCAAATAATTCATTTGTAGAGAATTAAGGAATAACTACTACCACAATCAACATTGTTTTAAATAATTTATTTTGTTGAAATCAATAATAAATGTCACATCTTCCTTACTTATATATACTTTTTAAGAGATTTATTATGTACTGCTCAAATTTATAATATTTCGTGCATAATTGAAATCTATTTATGCAACAAAAACATATGTATACTATATATATCTTTTAATTTATTATTAAAAATTAAAAAGAACATATTGAACATCATGGCAAAACACCGAGTTAAAAATTGTGGAAGAAGCCATCTAAAGTTTTTTTTAATGAAAAGCCTAGTTACCCACACTTTAACGTAACATATGAAAAGCCTAGTTACCCACACTTCCGTAATGATTTCACACTTTATGTAACATATGAGTAATATTCGTTACGTAAAATGGCATTCCATTACGTAAGACTTCTGTAATGACATTTTACAACTGTTACGTAAAACACAGATCCTTTACGTAAAGGTTACGTAATGAGTTATTCTATACGTAAAAGTTAAATTGAAAGTGTTACGTAAGACTTCCGTAATGACTTAGCACTTTACGTAACACGACATTAATACTCATTACGTAACAAAGACTTTCTATAACGTAAGACTTCCGTAATGAAATTTTACAATTGTTACGTAAAATAAACATTTGTTACGTAAAGGTTAGGGAATGATAGTTGTTTCTTACGTAACAATTAAATCAAAAGTGTTACGTAAGACTTTCGTAATGACTTAGCACTTTATGTAATGCGAGGTTAATACTCATTACGTAAAACGACCTTCCATTACGTAAAGGTTACGAACGATAGTTATTTCTTACGTAACAGTTAAATCAATAGCGTTAGATAAGGCTTCTGTAATGACTTTACACTTTACGTAATGCACTGTTAGTATTCATTACGTAAAATAAGTGTCCATTACGTAAGGCTTCCGTAATGATGTTTGACAACTATTACGTAAGATTACCATAAGTTACGTAACCATTACGTAATGTCTATTGTATTTTACGTAAT